TGATTGCTAAAAGTATCGTTTAGTTACATATGTTTTGTTGAGGTTTTGTTTGTATATTTTCTGTATTACAAGATACATATATTAAGCGTTGTTCTATACAAACATATGGGAATGGTCTTAGTGTAGTCTCAAACTTAGACTTAGATAAAGGATTGGAGCGATGAAAGAAATAATGACATAATATAAATTATTTTACAATAACGAAATAAAGTAACAGCTGAAGTATAAGGATAAATTCGAAAATCAATTCAAACTTAAGAACACGATTTCTTATGGACGACGACTTCTTTAATGTTACAATAAGGCGAAGTTTGGATGTAAAGTACTGTCAAACCGAAACAAATTCTTGAACACCGAACTTCTATTTATTGTTTGATTGCTCAGTTCATATTCACGTGTCACAGTTCCTTGTATAATTTGGACGTGAATGTCAAATGTATGTTGAATTATCTGAATATCCTTGTGAACTGCCGGACGTGTGTGTTATGTCTCCGACTCTTGTTACCAGGTTACCAATCCATGGTGTTACACTGTTTGGCACCCTCTGTGATTAAATATCTGCCGCCTTGTAGTGGGTGGAAATCTCACATCTGTCCGCACTTTTGCCATTAGCGAATGGTAAATCAAGATGCCTTATTGCGCTATGGTTTCCAATCCAAATATATGAATAATACAAATGTAACAATTATATAAACTAGGATGCATTTCACAAATTGCGAACAAAGAGGGCTAAGATGAAAATAATTTTACCATCAAAGTTAACAGAGATTTTTATAAAGGTAAAGTAGAAATATTCTCTCTCAGTATAAACCGAGCAAATAAGTAATTCGCGAAATTCGTCTTCTATGTGTATATTACAAACACGACACAAATTAGCTTGTTTTTTACAGTTTTTTTGTGTTAGATTTTCTGAATACATAACATTTGATAAGCTTTAGAGCCTGTAGGTCTCGCGAGGCGCTCCTTCCGGTACTAAGCTGGTAAGCCGTCTCCCTTTGCGCGCGCCGACTTGCGATATGCGAAACGGGGCCTAGCCTACTTCCGGTATCAGATTTCCGGTGACAAGCGTATATTCAAGAACCAGTTCTAGTTCCAAATAGCGCGACCGCCAAATATGACTTTACTAGACCTGAGCAAGTCGTAATGGTTGGTTAATTTGGGTATTGGAACCTGTTAAACCTGCAAGGATGATCGGTTCCTTACAGTCAACTGACAACCATGAGACCATTTGAAAAGGTATGAAACGTTGTCACCGGAAGTACTAAGGTCTTGCGAAGTGCCGTGACCTACTTCCCGGCCCTATAATTTGAATGATAAACATGATCTCAGTTCTTCTTCTAGTCTGTCTTACAGACCCTGAAGCAAATATATCCAAAAAGCCCACGCAAGTCTAGAAAATATGGCAAGTCTAGATTTCCACAGCTTATGGTAAAACTACATGGTGAACACACTTAACATAGATGATCCCATGACTAAATCGTTTGCGACAACAATGTTTAATCCGATTAATCACGCTATGGGATTAAGGCGTCGACGTCCTTAAAAGACACTGTTCTATTAATGTAGTGAGACGATCTTGTGGTGGTGTCGTTGTCCAGTCCTACCACGCCCAGACCTCATTGCAACCCAACCCGTCTGACGGTCTTTGTCAACAGTCCGCCATTTTGTCTCAACAGAGATACCGTCTCGTATGCATTTTACGACTGTGAGATCGACTGGCACGTGCGTCACATGATATTCATGCATGATGTCAGATTTCCTTGTGTTTAGATGTTGCGTTCAAATGCAACGTCACGGTATTACAAATGTACATCCCAAAGATTGCATAGCTACATTCCAATCACTGGTTCCCAATTATCTGTGGGTACTATATATTCCTGATGTAAGGGCAGATAGGTTAGCCTAGTGGTCAAAGTGTTTACCCGTTAAATCAACAACTCAAGTTCTATTCTCCATGGGACCATAACGTGTGAAATATAAACTCAAACATTGCAAACTGCTGTCGTTGTGTAAGATCACGATACCATGTACAATAGAACATTTCTATAAGCAAAAGGAAGATAGATGTATTAGGATCACAACCTCCACCCAACAAGCCAACTATTGTCAGCCAGGCTACATACATCTGGAAGTGTTCAGCCAAGCGCGATCTCGCGAGATATCGCTTGATCTCATAACAGGATCAGGAACTCTCGTGGGAGCCGGAGTTGTATGATGAACGCAGTATTAAACCTTAACGTCTCTCTGGAGAGCACACACTTGTTATTGTGACACCATGAATAATATATGAAGGTGAATGTTTACGATTGTTAGAAAAAGTATCAACTGAATACACAACACTAGGCTGAATATGGACAATGTAATTAGTAATATCCCACAGCGCAACAAACACAACAAAAAATTCAGAAATCGATATTCGCTGCAAGTATATCCTGCACAGCCAGAAATCGATATGGATGTATGTATTGTGTAATTGAAGGTCGGTCAAATGAACTGCTTCGTAATGAGAGAGTACTCAGCAATATGGCATGTGGGGCTGATACTTACTTCATTTGAAAATGTTTGTAAGTAAAGTGAATATTTCAGGCATGTGTGCATCAACCCAGTGCCACCCTGTTCCGGAATATCAAATATACCAGTGATCAGTGAAAAGTCCGGAATATATTTTTCAAAATTAACATTTTAGACCAAATAGCCAAACAACTTGGATGTGTATTTCTGTCATTTTAAAATATACATTTCTTCGAGTGCTTCTCGCACGTTGTGTATCAACCATTGTTAGCCGGAACATGAACACAAAAGCAACTTTGGAATGTGTACACGTTTGAAAAACATAGCCAAACAACTATTTTTCCTACAAGACTAACCACCATAATTCCCATTAACAATTAAATTTCACGTTTCATTGTGGCCTGTGTTACTTACTGTGTCTTGATCCACTACGATTGCTGCTGGTTTTCTGTGTTACTTGCTGTGTCTTGATCCACTACGATTGCTGCTGGTTTTCTGTGTTACTTACGGCGTCTTGATCCACTACGATTGCTGCTTGTTTTCTGTGTTACTTACTGCGTCTTGATCCACTACGATTGCTGCTGGTTTTCTGTGTTACTTACGGCGTCTTGATCCACTACGATTGCTGCTGGTTTTATGTGTTACTTACTGCGTCTTGATCCACTACGATTGCTGCTGGTTTTCTGTGTTACTTACTGCGTCTTGATCCACTACGATTGTGCTTGATCCATCTACGATTGCTGCTGGTTTTCTGTGTTACTTACTGCGTCTTGATCCACTACGATTGCTGCTGGTTTTCTGTGTTACTGTGTTACTTGATCCACTACTTGCTGTGTCTTGATCCACTACGATTGCTGCTGGTTTTCTGTGTTACTTGCTGCGTCTTGATCCACTACGATTGCTGCTGGTTTTCTGTGTTACTTGCTGCGTCTTGATCCACTACGATTGCTGCTGGTTTTCTGTGTTACTTGACTGCGTCTTGATCCACTACGATTGCTACTGCGTCTTGATCCACTACGATTGCTGCTGGTTTTATGTGTTACTTGCTGCGTCTTGATCCACTACGATTGCTGCTGGTTTTCTGTGTTACTTACTGTGTCTTGATCCACTACGATTGCTGCTGGTTTTCTGTGTTACTTACTGCGTCTTGATCCACTACGATTGCTGCTGGTTTTCTGTGTTACTTACTGCGTCTTGATCCACTACGATTGCTGCTGGTTTTCTGTGTTACTTGCTGCGTCTTGATCCACTACGATTGCTGCTGGTTTTCTGTGTTACTACGATTGCTGTGTCTTGATCCACTACGATTGCTGCTGGTTTTCTGTGTTACTTACTGCGTCTTGATCCACTACGATTGCTGCTGGGTTTTCTGTGTTACTTGCTGTGTCTTGATCCACTACGATTGCTGCTGGTTTTCTGTTTCTGTGTTATCCACTACGGCGTCTTGATCCACTACGATTGCTGCTGGGTTTTATTACTTGCTGCGTCTTGATCCACTACTTGCTGTGTCTTGATCCACTACGATTGCTGCTGGTTTTCTGTGTCACCTACTGTGTCTTGATCCACTACGATTGCTGCTGGTTTTCTGTGTTACTTACTGTGTCTTGATCCACTACGATTGCTGCTGGTTTTCTGTGTTACTTGCTGCGTCTTGATCCACTACGATTGCTGCTGGTTTTCTGTGTTACTTGCTGTGTCTTGATCCACTACGATTGCTGCTGGGTTTTGATCCATGTGTTACTTTACTTGCTGTGTCTTGATCCACTACGATTGCTGCTGGTTTTATGTGTTACTTGCTGTGTCTTGATCCACTACGATTGCTGCTGGTTTTCTGTGTTACTTGCTGTGTCTTGATCCACTACGATTGCTGCTGGGTTTTATGTGTTACTTGCTGTGTCTTCATCCACTACGATTGCTGCTGGTTTTCTGTGGGATGACGGGTGGAAAAGCCATGTTGACGACTTATTCTCAGAACCACCAGGCAATGGGGTACTATAAAATCCACTGACCAAACTGGAGGCCCGGGTTTAATGGTTGGAGAACATTCTTAATGCTCCTTTCATGATATGAGTTAGGAATAGAGAAACGCCTGGTCATTTGTCCACCCACACAAACATTTTCCAGCGCCTTCAGGTCTCATTCATTCATGAATTCTCTGTAGTGATTCCGAGTCGGACTTTGGCTTCCATAAACAATGCCAGTTGTTAAAGCATCGTTTTCAGATCGCTGGTCATGCTTTCAATTACTGGTTTGTCTGGTCCAGATTCGATTAGTGACACGTCAGAGAGACATGGTATAACTTGCTGACGGCGATACTATTCACCCACTCCCTTAACGTTCTTATTTCTGCTGTATAGAATACGTATAAATGCATCCTAATAATGGTATATGATAATGATAAAAATATTGCTGATTGTTTTGCTAATTACCACAACAACACCGCTAATGATGCACAGTGGTAATAATCTGATATTCTGAATATATTACAGGTCTACAGAATTCGGCTGCTTCCTGCTACATCGTTGTTCTCATCGACCTGGTGACGGCAGGTGTCGTTGGCCTCATCGGCCTCAGCCAGAAGCAAGTTGCCAGCTGCATGGTGACGGGGGTGTTGTACTGCATGGCGGGTGAGTCGATGACGTCATTGATGTGATGAATGACAACGATCTATCTCGAGTTGTACAGAGTTGCAAAACGAAGTGACGTTAACACGTTCATCATATTATCATATGTTTATCTTATATTTCATGTTCATCATATCATCACATCTTAATTGTATCATATGTTCAACATATCAACATACGTTCATTGTTCGTCATCATGTTAATCTGTCATCACGTCATTGCGTTCATGCAAGGGCAAACTCTGATGGAATTGATTACGAGTACTTGATGTTAACGCTTTTGCTGTACATATTGCAATATCATTTCCTAAAAAAGATGTTATTGAACATAGCAATTCAGGGGCTGATTCAGGATTTTTCTTCTATTTTCCTTTATTTTTGGAGGGGGTTGGGGTGGGGTGGGGTGGCACACATACATCATGAAGTCCAAAGGTTATAAGGTTATGGGGAAAAGCTCCTCGGGTATTATCTTTTCGGGAGGGAGTGCGCACACGCACACGCACGCACACGCACGCACACACACACACGCACACACACACACACACACACACACACACACACACACACACACACACACACATACACACGCCTCAGTTTGCAGTGTAACTGTTTTCAGCCCAGTTACGGTTTATACACCGTATGTAAATGTCGAATTCAATTTACAAATGTATGCTCTCTGTTGATTTGATTTTAAAACATCATCAAAACTTCTTTCTTTATTCTGATGGTATTTCACATTGCAGCACTGTTCGGCGTGTTCGGCTTGTCCATGTTCCACACGAAGAATTACTACGAGACATTCCAGTGTTACGCTATGGACAAAATCCCAGAGCCGCTGTGCCCCGCCCGGCATGTGGACGTTCTGTGGGCAATACCCCTTGCCTGGCTGGGGGTGGTGTTCTGTGTCATTGCCTGCATATTGTGGCTGATCGTCGCGAGGGCATTACGGGTCATTAAGGCGAAGACGATGTTGTGAAGCCGTTGACGTCGTCCTTACACTGACACGCTGTTGAGACCAATCAGAAGCTGTATGGCCAAGTCCACAGGGTCTATTTGTATGTGTCTGTAGGCATCTCATAGAACTGGATTTAACGGAAGAACACGGGTAGCATAGTGATTATTCGTTATTCCGTCACCTTCACGCCCCTGGTTCGAATCCAGTATGTGTTTAGTATGAGAAAGCAATTCCGAAGACAATCACACATACATGTTATATCCCCGCTAAGGTTGTGCTTGAAATGTTGCCCCGAAACATATCTCATTTAATATCTTTGACGAATGACTGTTAAAGTTGTGGCAATATGTTTCACCGTGCTGAGATCACGTCACATGAGTCTATACATAAGGCCATCTTAATAATGAAAGCTTTATAACAGTTGACCGTTGTCTAAAATACGATATTTATTATACACGCCTTTACCTGTTACATAGGCAACAGCCATTCTCAATAACGATTAAAACTGGGATTTAAATACTTAAGGTTTTACGAAAGGTTTTTGCAATTCTAAAACAGTTGAACTACTGTGGATGATAAGCATGGGATTTTACAAAACAAAATCTTGGCAACACATCATGTATTTTGAGAACATTTCCATCTAACTCGCACATAGGCTTTAATTTGACAGGACATACACATCAATGAATATTCATGAGGTTCCGTCCCCCAAGTCCGTCCGTGTAGTAAATGTATCCATTATTATAGAGGAGCTCCGTCAGTACCAGATCATGTGTTCTGTTCATGACGTGACCAGGAAGTGACGTCATTGGTTGAATATTGTCACGATGTTTTATGGTGATGTGAACACGTCATTTGCCTTATCACATATTGCACACAGTGATAATAATGCATACCGACATTGGTCTGGAACACTGGTTTCATTAATTAATTTCATGGTTACAATTTTACGCTATTTACCACCGTTTCTAGACTGGTGCTAGACTTTGTATTACGACGATATATCCATTGCCTATGTATACAGTGAAGCAAATGAGCAGTGTTTTAGTCCGCGGTAATTAGGGACCGTTCATAATTTATGGCTAGGGGGTTGATGATGATTTTTATGGAGAAGCATGTACATTGTGAATGCCCCCCCTAAAATTTATGTACAAATGTAAGTCGTAAGTGACAAACCCCACCACCACCCTTACATGTCATGTACAAATCAATTACCCCCTTCTCCCCTCCCCTACTTTTAAGCATTTGTTTTAATATTGCTATGTACAAAATTGCTGATGCCCCTAGTAGATGTGTAAAACAATGCTGATATCCCCTCCCCCTTAAAATCATCAACGAACGGTCCCTTAATATTGTTTTATCAGAGCGTGAAGTTCAGGGGGTGGGTGAAGCCGAAAATTATGCAGATAATTCCTAGACGTGTTTGGTCAAAGTGTGTAGGAAGTATATTTAACATCAAGTATTTTAATTTATACCTCTCTGCTTATCAAAGTATATTTAACATCAAGTATTTTACTCCTATTTATACCTCTCTGCTTAAAAGTCTGTGTTCACCCTAACAGAAGGTCGGGTCAGGTGAACCTTCTGGTCATCCAATCAGCGCAAAGCTTATAAAATCTCTAAGAATTCAGATCAGCATATCTGATTTCTGTGCCTCGAAAACGAGCTTAAACGACCTTTCCCGAATGTACAAAATGACTACCGCGCTATTATATTGTGCTTCATATCTTACACACACATGGCCGTCATATCTGCTTCTTAGCTTCGTGTTATCTATACTCGAAAGGGAGTGCTATCAAAGCGACTATACGTGTATACTGAATGTTTTTCATGTTCAACAAAATCAAAATGTCCGAATCGATGTGGCAAAGGAAGGAAGTCGAATCGCTGTTGAAAGCTGACATGTGATTGGCTCAAGAACCCACGCCTCCTTCATTCAGACTGGATGTCAAAGGTCACTGAGAATTCATCAGACACGAACTTCTAAGGTTTCCAAATCGCGACACAGAGAGATATTATATTGGAGTAAAACACTACGAAAATTGTTTACGGTTCAGACAGACCAATCTTCAGGATTATAGCTTTACTCGACGTAATACTGGTTTCCTCATCCCAACATGTCGTATTTCAGTAAACTACGTTTCTAACGAACACGCGGATATCACGAACTATCGTTGTATATCTTGCAACAAAGGCGTTATAACGAACTAAAATAAGTAGTCCCTCTCAACTAACCGCATCTTACTGTTTTTTCAGCTGTAAATAACACTGGGCTCATGATATAATAGATTTGAAAAATGTTAATGTTTTGAATTGTTGAAAATATTATTTGCTTTTCTTTTTAGCGTACCACGAGTTTTGTGATTCCAAAGTACCGAATTGTTTTCAGAAACAGGCTTCCATGTGTCTTCAATACCGTAATTCTTCTATGATTCTAAAACTGAGTTCGTTTAGAAAGTGCCGAGCAGGAGACGTATGTCCACGCGAATTGCTTAACACGAACAAGTTGCACAACCAACAGACATCCACGATATGTTTAAAGGGAGATAACTGCTACGTTTCCCTTGACGAATGACCCTTGACGAATCGCGGTATTTGTTTGTGCAATATGAGCGTCTGTTTCCTTTTCTGTCTTGTAATGCTCGGTATGGGATTATCTGCATGCAGTGTTATTGACTAGACAGGTAGCTGTCTTCCGGAGGTTTTATACACCCTCTTGATGAATGTTAATTGTTTTACTTGTGAATTGCAGTCCTCTTCAGGTCAATGGCGCCTTCACTTATGTAACTTACTACTACTACTACTACTACTACTACTACTACTACTACTACTACTACTACTACTACTACTACTATTACTACTACTTCTACTACTACTACTACTACTACCTCGTAAGGATGGGAAAGCCACAATAATTCGGTGCGCCTAGTGGCTGCAAGAGTTGTATCGTCTTCAGGGAGTTGAGATTGATAATTCGATGTGCCGTTGATATTGACATCCAAAGATCGAGGGAAAAGGATACCAGCGCCTTGACCATGTACTAGTTGCGTGGATATGTGCGCTATATAAATATCCTATACTACTACTACCACTACTACTACTACTACTACTACTACTACTACTACCACTACGACTACTACTGCTACTGCTACTGCTACTGCAACTACTACGGCTAATTCCACTGCTACTGCTACTACCACAACTACTACTACAGCTACTACTACTACTACTACTACTACTACTGCTGCTGCTACTACTGCTACTGCAACTACTACGGATAATTCCACTGCTACTACCACAACTACTACTACAGCTGCTACTACAGCTAGTACTAACTACTACCGTACAATGCGCCATGTCACAGACCACACCATATCTAGATTGTATCGGCAATATATACACTTATCGCAGGGGTGAAAATAACCCATTGCCCTACGTCCTAGTCCAGTGTTTTTTTTCTGTCGGGCAAGCAAATTTTATATCACGCTGTACCGGTGTCCAGTTGACTTTCCAATGTTAATTATGTTGTTTATTTGAAAAATCAACAAGAAAATCGGCAGGTATAGTGAACAATTATCAGGGCAAGTGATTTTACATGTGCCAGCGTACCGGAGTACACTAGCAATTTTAAAGTTATTTCCACCCCTGCTTATCGTCCTCATTTTTACAATATTATTTTCATACATTTCATAAATGTAAATAGCATCACCTGCGCTGTACATACTTCAGCGTCTCCGTCAGTCCGTAAACCATAATTTCTCGACAGTTGAATAACGTCGGATTTATCAAAATAGATTGGGAATAGATTCCATCTGAACACTACAGCAGCTTATTAGTTTACTTGAACCAGTTTGCAAAAATGTATTTTGCAACAAGATAGTATGCGAGAGAGAGAAGGTATGATGAGGGGAGATCCCCCCCGTTTTGTTGGTGTACATCGGTGATGTCACTCACTACCAGCTTAGTCGTTTGTTCAAAATGAAATGACTCTTGCACATCTTGTGAAACATGTAAGCACGTTTGAACCTTCCACCGCCTGCAGATGTTGTTCGATTCAGAGATGTTTGTTTGTACATGTAAAGATTCTGTCACAACATATGTTGTACTAGTGAGGGTTTTCTATTTCCAGGATAATTAGATATGATAAATATCACACGTGTTTTTCCCTCTGAGATTAACTCATGTTTATTTCCTTTTTTATAATTCAGTTACTGAATATTGATCAAAACACGTTTACGACATACTTTTTGCAATTTTGCAATACAGTTTCAAGCAATACCATTGTGTTTAAACGTTCAATTTATATACATGTACCTAGAATCCATCCAATCTATTACTGCTCTTAATAAAATTATGACAATAATATGATTTTTAAAGCCAATATTTTGGATCGCTTTTTGCTTGTTTATATGCCATAATGTTGTTACAGCCGAGTTATCTTTGTTGTTTAATTTACCTGTTCTGTTAATTAAATCCATTGACAATAAAGCTTTTACGAGAACGATGTCTTTTAATGTGTTCAATGTATTGCTGTGTTCAAAAACTAGATGCGTTCAAGCGGGAGGGGAGTAGGTGATGACTACATAGTGGTTACAGCGTCATCTCGGGTTCTTTTTCTGGTGAACCCGCCTGGGAAATTGTTCGAATATTGGAAAGAGCGCAATAAAGCGCACGTAGAGTGGCCGATGTCGGAGGGAGACTGAACTGACACAAGGCCAAATCACAAAGCACAAGTGGCACTGTGGTCTCACCTTAGGCAAGTAAGTTTGTTCAAAATTGCCTCTGTTTACCCAGCAGGGAATGGGTACCCGGTAAGATAAGTCACAGGCAGCGTGGGTTAACCGGGGTAATAATGTCTTAAGTAGCGCTTTTTGTGTCCATTATTTAAATCTTCATGTGCGAATTCGTGAGTAAAATGCTGTTTTGAGTATTTCAGCTACATCACAGGTAGCTTGACGAGGGGGAAAGCAAGAAGAATCTACCCCTTAACTATGTTTGAGACAACCACGAACACCGACGAGGCGCTAATTACTAATGCAGTCAGCCCTACAAGCTGTCAGTAAATCAAGCAGTCTAAGGGACACAACTCTGTATATCCCGTTATATCGTCACGTCACGCACAACACAAAATGGTATATCCCTTGAAATGAATTATTAAATATATCCTACTGTAATGTACATCTGTCTAGAGACGCTTTTGTTCACGTAAATTGCACAACGAACTGTTGTAATTGTTCAAACAGTGCCAGTCGATGAACCGACAAGGCCAGAGTTGCTTTGAAAGTGAGTAGACGAATCATCCGACCCCAAGGAGCTTCATAAATGTAGAATAAACAGAAAACATCAATAACTGCTGTTATCAATATGCACTATATATTATTTATATATTTATATATATAAAATTGATAACTGTTGAAATGTAACTTTAAACTCAGAAACGAAATACGCACATCTATGAGATGAAATAACAAAACTGTAAAAATCGAGTCTGGACCAGACAATCCAGTGATCAACAGTGTGAGCATCGATCTACATGGACATACAATCTCTAGCGTGTGAAGGTTATTTCGTTACGGCTTTCAGCTGCAGTTCTGGTGTGTTATTCATAGTTTGATCACATCAGCTCCTGTTGTTTTCTGTATTTCAATTTTAGAGGGGGCTTTAATTTCTTATGGTCTGTTTAAACACTTTCCTTAAAGGATTTGGTTTTAAAAGAGCTTGAATAATTATAAATTATGAAGGATTTTGCCGGGACCGAGATGTTATATCGAGACAACCGAGATATCGAGTTGTCAGAGTTCGACACAACGGTGCTCGACTGTATTTGAAAAAGTATTGTCATATTTTCAAAAGTCATATCCATTTATACACACGAGAAGTCATTTATAAACATTTTGAATTTTGAAAGGGGGTGGGGGTGGGGTGGGGTGTCTTCAATGTGGTCTTAAGTTCTTTTCACAAAGTTTTAAAACACCCTAAACAACACACACACACACACACCTCTCTGGATCCGCCAATGATAAAGATAGCAATATATACTAAGAGTAATGTGATACCAGATTAACTATGAAAATATCGGGTGTTCTTTGACGTCTTTTGAGTAGCATATTCGTAGTTTAGTGGCAACGCATACCGTCCGATGTACAACGACAATAAAGATGGTATTTTATGTACGCTTCGAACCGTCCATATCGTGCGACACAATCGCCAGGGCAACATGTGGTCACTGGGCCCTCCAAATGACCAACCGGGGAACCGGCCACTCAAAAATACCGAAAACAACATTTACCAAAGGGTTTCTTTATTTTAATCACAATTACCTCAGCAATTAAGTGAAGACTTTTAACTCGTGAGTCAACACTTGTATTATTTTTGTTTACTGTTTTTTCGACAATATGGTTTGGGTGACAATAGAATTTATGTTTTGCTTTGGATTACTTCGTCGAACAATTACTGCCATCAGATTGTTCATTAGACTTGCTTTTTATGTTGTTAATGATCTGATACACATTGTGGTATTTTAAGTAGGGCTGTGCAATATTACCGGTATATACCGGTACAGCATCTCGCGATACGATTATCGCGATATGGTTCAGATTCTGCAATATATTGAGTCATCTAGAGTTAGCTCTCTTTGCATTATCTGCCCTTGTACTTTGTCTAAAATCAAGCTGGACTTTAAGTAACTGTCAGATGGTTTGTTCTTTCAAAGATGTGGGGGCCGGGGGGATATGTCATCTTCTGATGACTCTGGTTGCACTGCTTATAGTCAGTGAAGCCATTTCTTGACAAATGAAGTATTCCGACAAAAGTGCTAAACAAATTTTGTTCCGATTGGTTTGAACCGAACAATAATGCATATTAAGAAAGACTTTCTCTGAACTCTGAAATTCGACTAGGATGAATTTGACCTTCATCATTGACATTCCTCACTGGCCCTGACTGACAAAACAATAGATTGGCACAGTCATCGCCAACATAACCACCTTGGAATATGTTTGAATATCGCCTTTTCTTGAGCTAAAGAGAGACTGTCATTGCGCGACAAGTTAAACAGCTAATTTGTGTGTGACAATTTATTAATCCGCCACTGAGTTTTCATCAGACTCTTCAATGTAATTTTCTCTTTTTCTGGAATCCTAAATTACATTCCTAGCTATAGGAATGCCAGTTTGCCCGACTGAGCAACGGCGATGGCAGGAGATGTTTTGCAAAACAAGTACAAACATATTAGGCGTATGTTGCTTTTCGAAAAAGCACAACTTTTCATAGACGTATTGTTTGTTTGTTTGTTCGTTTGTTTACGCCGCCCTCAGAAATATCACATCTAAATGACGGCGGTCTAAATCGAGTCTGGAACAGCCAATCCAGTGGTTGACAACAGCAGCACTGATCAAAACAAATGGGATACGATGATATGAATCACGCAGGCCGTCCTGACCCTATGTGAAACTGATACATTCCGTAGTTGGCTAATCCTTAACGGCATGCTTCGTATTCCTCTAAAATGTGAGTAAGTAAACAAACGCAGACATCGGCCATGACTGACAACTGGCCCATGCCTAACCCTTCAACGTTTTAAGCAACACTCGAGTAAGTGGTGTTTCCATTGACAACGTTACTGCGTTTCAGTTGTTCCACCTCACTAGGGGACATTTTTCCATCCTTCAGTGATGCGGATCTTCTTACTTTAAAAACACAGCAATCCTTATTCAAATTTGCATCGATTTCAAGATGGCGGCGTTTAACGTCTGCTTGTCACTTGTCATTGCGCTGCACCTGACAAAGAGGCGAACGCAGGTGGACTGGAACGAGCCGGCTTAATTATTGATGAGTTTATAGGCGGAAAACTTTATGGTTTAGTTTGATTGGGTTTCTGAATCTAATTCCAAGTGGCCCCAGGGGCCGCTATTTGGTGGGAGACATGATACAGGGATCAACAAACACCTGACAACGATGTCGTACGTGGGTAATGTCTTAACATTGGCACGTCCATGTTGTCGGATCCAGGGACATGAATGAGACGATCTGAGGAATCGAAGTGTGTTTAGTTCGAAGTGTCAGTTTTAACACTGGTGCCAATATGTGTCAGTTAAAACTGTGATCTTTTGGTCTACTACAAGATGTAGAGTACTCAGAAACCTATAAATGTGCATTGATTTCAATGGGCAAATATGCATATCTGCATATTCAGCAACAATTAGATTTCAAAAGACTTAAGTGGACATTTGGAAGGCAGACTGAAGTTGATATTATATGAAAGTTGCCGTTGTGCGAGTTGCTTTTGGAATCTCCCTATTCGTTTCAACGAAGTCAATGTGGGAGACAACTTCAGTGCAGTTGTGGAACCAGTGATGCTTCTCAATGCATGTTTGTACCTATAGCTGTGGCATTTTCCACGTTGACACGACGTAACTCTGTAACACCGCCAATGCCGAACTGTTGTTCCCCGACGATGGTGAAAATCTGCAACTACTCCACCCTCATCCTCTCCGGCAACACCGTCGTGTTGTTGATCGTTGCCGTAACGACCGACTACTGGCAATACCGAGGCTTCAACCTTGACAACATCACCAACTACCTGAAACCCCTGGAAGGTGTTGAGGTCAACACTCCCGATGGCACGTCTCCGTACAAACTGATAACGACGATGATGTCCATGCCGGAGAAGAACTCGTCACAGGCAGCCCATGTGGCCGTGCATTACCACTCGCCCATGTACGTCAGGGTCTTTGACAACGGAAGTGTTGACGGCAGGGGTCACGTTAAAGACGTTATCCAAGTGTATCTGTTCTCTCAATACGGGAATTTGTTCAAGGATTGTGACAACCTGACTGGTAAGCTCTAATACAGATACTTATAAATTGACTATTTCCTTCTATATGCATAGTGATAACGTATAGTCCGCATTGTAGATTAGTGGTATTTGATACCACTGTGTAGAGTTGCTTCCCTTATTATTGAATCATAATCTGCTGACCGTATGTTTGAATTCAAAATTCATCTCAACTTTAATCGTCGGTGCTGAGATAGAGGGAAGTATATATACTACGCCCTACATTGCTGGACAAACTTAAAGATATACCTGAAGACTGAAATTTGTTTGTTGTACTTAGAATGGTGGATTTATTTTAGGGACCCTTTCAAAACGCGACGAAACCCTTCACATACCGACTTAAATCATTGAAAATTGGACATCATTTAGGATACTGATGGACCAAATTAGAAATGTCTTTTTTTCATGTATAATACTGGACGTTTTGGACGCTTTACTCTGAGCTTGAATGTTGTGACACTGATCAAACAACCTTTGAGCACGATTATGACGCTCTTTGCATTCTCTGTAGAAACAGCATGCTTGATTGTACCTCAGAAGTTGTTGACGTTAAAACCTTACTGGAATAATGGTTGTCATAAAGTGAGATTTTACTTTTTGAATGCTAAAGCCAATCTTCATTGAATACAGTCTTGTTCGTAACAAAATTCGCCAAAACAGATATGAAACAAACATCATAGCAGGCATAATCCCCTTTTATGTGTACATTTATAATTTGTGTAAACCCGCGTTGTGTTCCCATAAAGATTGAAACTTATATTTCCTTAGCTTTACAACAATTCATCATCTCAGCTTTAATGTTAATCTGTACATACAGACACATGCAAATACACACTATACAACCCATACTCACACACTCGCTCTCTCAAACGCACGCACTCACACACGCACGCGCACGCACGCACACACACACACACACACACACACACGCACGCAGACACAGACACGCAGACACACACATGCAGACACGTCAACCCGCTACACGTTTCCCATCAACACGCCATCCCTAGGCTCTGTCCGACGTTTCTACTGGTGTCACTCTGGTATCAAACTTTAAAGCCATTGCAATTTAACCAAATACTTTCAAGTGAAGAATCAGTTGTATTCGTATCGATCGTCACCTAGATTCAAATGAAATATTGAATTCGTTAAACCGCGTTGTTGTTGATGATGTTTTGTTTACCTAGGTAACGAACAATCAGTAGAAATTATTAATGAAAGGTGTTCAGCTGACGCACTTGTCTGTTTGAATTGAATTAAAGTTAAATTCTGAAGTTCCTTGCAATATTTCTATCTACAAGTGCATATCACTACAATGCGTCTTTAACAAAAGGGGGGCGGTGGGGTAGTCTAGTGGTTAAAGCGTTGGCTCGTCACGCCGAAGACCCGGGTTCAATTCCCCACATGGGTACAATGAGTGAAGCCCATTTCTGGTGTCCCCCGCCGTGATATTGCTGGAATATTGCTAAAAGCGGCGTAAAACCAAACTCAGTCAGTCAGTCAGTTTAACAAAAGGGTTTGAAACTTTCTGGGTCCGTAGTTGTTCGATGCCCGATGAGAGTCGTAACTGACACACTGACCATCCAGATCAATGACGGTGATAGGCGAGCTAGGGTCAGGCGGTCAAATGGTTGATCAAATGGTTGATAGTAGGAACACAATCCATGTCAAGGTACGAAGTCTGACAATCTGATTATCAGCTGCTCAAACTTCGGAACCACTACATTTCGGCCCTTACAAGTACTTCAGCAGCATCAGCCCATTCAGAAGCTAATGATTGTTAGCGCTATGAGCATACCTAGTGTGGAGTTTGGCGCTATATAAATGGACACATTATTATTATTATTATTATTAAATTACGTGAAGAACAAGGCCCTGTTTCATGCAGCCATTGTTCCTTTAACTATCAACCTGATGCACTTGTAAACTATAGAACCAATGTAACCTCTCTACACCATGGCACGCCTTCCCTTCATCGATGTCTCATGGTTAATTGTCATTGTTTCACCAAATCAATACATCGATCCGAAATTTTAAACAAGTAGGCACTTTGCTTCCCAGCAAAGCATCTAAAGTTAGTTAAATCAATAGAGCCGAGTGCCAGCTGCTGTTTCTCCTGTGTATGTACTATAGGCTGTGCAGCATCACAAGGACGAACTTCATGGCAGAACAAGGAATCGATTGATAGCTAGGTCATGATGGAGGGTGGTGGTGATGATTATGGTAGTGAGGATGGGGATGATGATGATGGTGATGATGTTAGCGTGATGTTGATTGTAATACTGATGTGACTATAATGGTGATGTCTGTGATTCTCAGATTGATTACTGAGTGAGTGAGTGAGTTAAACTTTTACATCGCATCGGCAATATCACAGCCATATAGCGATGAAAACAAGGTAATCAATTTAAAATATCTGTCGACAAAGGACAGTAAAACCAACCAGACTATCACAGATATATATTTAAAACTAGTAATCAAATCTAAAATACTTTAACTATAGAGGACGATACAATATTAAAACAGGCTACAGATAGCCGACAACTGAAGGTAGATCAGCATACTAGCGACCATGGGGACTTACAGTACCTTTGCTACCTGCATGGACCCTAGTTGGATTTACACCATCCCTTCAGCCGCTGGCGATTGTAGTAAATATTTAGCCAAACTTTACAAGAACAAAATTACTACGTTTTAAGAATGTGGTAAGGTTAAATTCAGCTTTGAAAGTTTTTGGACTTACGTATCGTCCCCGGAGGACAAGTTTACGATACTTTAACCCCCTTTGAGGATACAGCCACTAACGGATTGATTACTGATAAATAATACGGTGATGGTAATTATTATGGTGAGTATCATTGTGAGTTGGACTGCAAAAGTAAACAGCCCCGCCCTTGAATGCAAACGTTTCAAAAAAGGTTGAACGTCTTCATTTCACTGCAAAGTGGTTCTTTCTTTCGCTGGGCGGGATGGTAGTCTTGTGGTTAAACTGTTAACTGGTCTCGCCGATGCCCCCGGTCGAGTCCAGTTATGGATACAATGTGTGACGCCCACTTCTGGTGTTACCCTCCATCATATGGTTGGAATATTGACGAAAGCGGCGTAAAAGCGCTCATTCATTCGCAGTGACGTTAGCCCATACTTTATTTTTGGTATGGTTATCAACACTGTGCAAAACAATGCCCACTCACCGGCTTACGTACTGTTTGAACCTAGCTCAATCCCCTAGCGGGTCCCTTTCTCATTTTCACTCCTAATGAAATCGGTATGTAATGAAAATTGATTATTCTCTAGTGATGGCGTTTAATATTTGTTTGTTTGCCATAGTACACCACGCGTCTGAACATCCAAGTAATCCATGACACCGATAAAATAAATAATCACACCCAATGATTGATATAATGAACAACGATCTAGTCCCATGAGATTACCATGGCGTACAATCAACCAAATCATCACACCTGACCACTCGATTCATATGTCACGTTGTACGATCAACATATATTCCTGGGGTCATTTTCATATTCTTACTCGGATTTCCAAGGGGTTACCTTCAAATTGAATATTGCGAAATACGTTTTATTGCCTTGAAGTTATCAATAGTTCCCAACTGTTTAAATTACAAGTTTCCGGGAAAACGTAGGTTGCAGACTTCTTGTGATACGTTATGAAGTGTCTGAATAAACCAATACAACTATTAGATACAAGTACCATATTTCAGATGGTGTACGGGAACAGTTGAAGATCAAGAGAATACGACCAGAGAAGTGCGTTATGTTTATGTCCAGTCAGCCAGTCCCAACAGACTCTAGAATACACATACCGGACGCTCTCAGTAAGTGATCATTATACATCAGATTGTATTCTGTTTTCACCCGCAACTTTTTAACATTGAACGCACGAATTGTACTCTTGTCGTAGCATACGTTGGTATATCTTAAGCACCTCATCGAGAACGCTGGTGGTTACGAACTATCGAGTTCCATGGGTAGTTTCAAACGTTCACAACAACCACACGTTATCGTTGAAGATAACTACTGATACGTATAGGCACAACATGAAGGGATAACCATTTACATTAACTAACCTTTCTTATCGTTATATCTATAAGACACACAATCTCGCTGTCCAGCATACACATTTTACATATGGTTTTCATAATAAACACATGGGGTGGTGTTCAAATACAACCTTGATGAATGAGATTGTGTCAATTCAAGTTCATTAATAATGTAATTCTTCCGTTCATTTCATCAAATTGTCATTTTCATTCATTACATCAAACACTGTTTCTTATTTGCTGCTGGACCGCCTCCGTGGTGTAGTGGTTAGAGCGTCCGCCCGGAGAGCGGAAGGTCGCGGGTTCGATTCCCGACCGCGTCATACCAAAAGAGACGTTAAAATATGGTACTTGTTGGTCCCTGCCTGGCGCTCGGCATTAATGGGTACAACAAGGACAGGTCGGCTCGGAGTCAGTATAATGTGTCTGAGTGGGGTATTCATGCTTCACTGCGGCATGGTATCTCAGTGGGCTAGCACTATAAAACCAGCTTAAGTCTGGGCTAGTACAAGCAGCCGCACATACCCGTACACACGCATGCACGTCGTCATATGAGCGAAATATTCTCAAGCACTACGTTAAACCCAATTTTACCTCACCTCATCTTATTTGCTGCTTTTTTATCCATGTTTCATATTGTGTAGGGATTACCCGTGTTTTGTTATACTTGTCTGTGAAGCCTAAAAGGAACCATACGAGGCAGAGATAATTTAATCTTGTTCTCCATCTTTGACACAAAGCCATTTTGTAATTCGGTCCATATGACCTTTATAATTTGTACAAGCAGTCGTAATGAAGTGAAGTGTTCAATTTGCATTATCACAAGCTGATGACCTATGATTATCCTACTTATACATCAGTGAAGTTCGTAAACTGGCCGCCCTTGATGTTACATAGACGTAAGCTAAATATAATGTCCAGGTAAAAGGCTTCAAGTTGCCAAGGTTGAAATTTCTCCTGTGATGAGTTCATACGAGTAGAATTTTCTGATGGTTGTGTTTGCTGTACGTCTTCAGAGGTTGAGGTAGCAGCCTTTTGTTCTGCTGTATTGTCCATCCTGTGCCTCATCACCAGTTTGGCAGCGGGTAGTCTCGGGTCGTTGTCCAAAAGTCACAGATACATGACCATCGCTTCCGGTATGGCACTCATAGCAGGTCGGTATTGCAACTATTATGCCATGAATATGTACGATATTGTATATACAGTATACCCGGGACAATATGTATTATTGAAATCAAATCAAATCCTCACAAAAGTGATTATTTAAGGGGGGCGACCATCATATATTCTTCAGAAGCGGGCTTTGGGATGGTATCTTTATAATATAATTCTGAGTTGTACATAAACGTCTTTTGGAGCGGTGGGGTAGCCTAGTGGTTAAAGCGTTCGCTCGTCATGCCGAAGGTACGGGTTCGATTCCCCAAAAGGGTACAATGTGTAAAGCCCATTTCTGGCGCCCCCGCCGTGATATTGCTGGAATATTGCTAAAAGCTGCGTAAAACTTAACTCACGCACTCATAAACGTCTTTTACTCCTTCGTCCTCAGAAAAATATGTTTGAGGCACTGACCAAAACAAAATACTGCGGCACTCTTGAACAAAATTACCAAACCATCCTCTCCTGAAGTGTAAATGGCAAGTACTATATGATCTATGGTCACTGTCTTCTCATCCAATTGCAAGTCTTACGACTTTGTGAACGACAAGCCTGAGAAAATATTGGAAGGGTTTCGAGGGGGCTTGTTTTCTTACAGATGGTACGTCACACAATAAACATAACCTGGGGACATTCAGCATGATGATTAATGTTGTGAAGACGAACATATCTTTTCATACTCTTGACTTCTTAAATGTACGTTTCATAATCTTCTACTACTATCATCAATAGTGTTAATACGGCGATACAAGCTTCTTCTCTATGTAAACAGATTGAGGTATTCAATGCAATGTTGTTTTTACCTGGCAGCCATCATTCTCATCACCACAATTGCGCTCTTCAACGGGAAAACTAACCTACAGTGGAGAGGAGAATTATTACCAGGTGTGAAATTCCCGCATAAAGAACTTATTTTAGAAAACAAGATTCATTCCTACGGATGGTCCTTCTTCCTCGCCTGGATTTGTGTCGCCCTGATGTTTACGTCGTCTTTCTCCTGGCTATACAAGGCTCAGTATTTACTGTTACCGGAGGGGGACGAATTTACACAGCTGTACCAGGTGCTCCGGCAGAAAGAGGACACGGGAAAGTCTAGGGTCAATGCCCAGTATGTAATTGACGAGGAGGAGGAGTACGCCACAACTCATATTGAATGTACAGTGTGATTGACGTTGTGAATGTAAACGACAAACCCAATTTCCATATTAACAAGAGACCTCTGCCAAGGGCTGAGTCGGCGATACGATTTTGATTATATCGTAAGTAAGTGTTTATGAATCGCTATAAAATTGGGATGACAGAATGTGAGCATACGCTGGTGCCCCACTGGTGGCCATCAACGTATGAAACGGCTAGTCAACAGCCAACCTGAAGAGAATGGCACAAGTCAAAATGAAGAACTGCATCGGGCATCATTGAGACGCGTTTACAATATGGTCGTAAGAAAGATACGATACTTCATGGACAGCAACTTCTTCATTGTGTTATGATGTGACGTTTCAGTATATATTCTTATACCGTGAAGCTTGATGCCGAAACGTCGCATCATAACATAATAAAGAAATTGTTGTCCATAAAGTATCTATATGTCTTTCTATTCATCAACTTCTAAAATGTCAATCAAACAGATACTATGGTCGTAGCATATTAAACTGTTGTTTAAGAGCTATTTTTTCATGACACAAACATGATATAAATTATATAGGACAAAATAGCCACTAACCAACAGTTCATTATTCTAGGACCATAATGTAAATGCGAATATTCTGTTTCTTCTATCACTCCTCTCTTTCCATGTCGTGTTCGAATCATTCGGATGGGCTCACAGGAGATTAAACAAAATCTTTAGTTTTCTTATCGAACTTCATGATCTTTAAAAGAGGCTGTACAAACATACATTTGTTCCCAGGAGCATGGTATTTTTGTCTCAGTATCATTATATGCCGATTTGTATTCAACACCAATCAGGTTTTGTTTCCATGTTTGTAAATGTTTCGGGAAATGAAAAATGTTTTAATTTGTTTTGTGTTCTATATGAAATTTATACTCATGGAAGCGAATAAGGAAACATATGAAAGTACAAGTGTTCCTATAATCTTTTTCAGGTTTCTTGACAAGGTATGTATTGCACTGTGAGTGAAATTCTGGAAATAAATAAAGGAACACTTTAAATTTACTTTTAAGTGTTCCCTTATTCGTTTATATGAGTATATATATCTCATGTTGTCTGGTTATTAAGACCATTGAATATCACATATATTGTACATGGCAAAAAACGTATCATTACATTGTCATTCCACGCAACCATTTTCTAGAATAAAATCTTGAGAAACATTGGATTGTGTTTTGTTAACGAAGTGCAAATGCCATTTCAGCAGCCTTAAACTGATTATGTCCTTGTGAAACATGTTACATGTTAAATAACTGCAAACTGCTCCCCGCGACATATACATATTCAGCCTTGACAGGGAGGCACATAATTTTCACGGTGATTACAGCATTTTAAGCTCCGCGGAATGTGTTTCCACAAATGATGGAGTCTGATAATGTTCTGGAGTGTTGTTTTGAAAACCTTACTGTTCATAGCAGCGTTATTCTCAAAATTCGAAAACAACAAAAGACGTTCCTCTTCAAAACAATTTAATAAATGGTACGTAAACTACCTGAAAACGATACATTAAATCAGAATTTGCTCTAAACTGAGAATTTAAGAAAACTGTAAACGTTATTTCAGACAAGCGTGAGGTTTAACAAGAGAGTAATGAGATGTTTCCCGTTTTCTTTCTGGTGTAATAGTGTCAAGTTACAAGTCTGAAATACCGACATGCTTCCACAATCACACTAAGTATCAGCTGTGATAATATCTGATGTCAATATGATAATGATTATGTTCACAGCATGCTCTAATTACTGGCGTTTACAATTATGATCAAATAGCATGATGTAGTTCCCTTGAACTGGGACCTTGTCTCACATGTGCAAAACATTTCTACAAAGGCCTACGTTTCATACAAAACGTTCATATGTGTACTTTGAACACGTGTTTCGAATATAGACACTCATGAGGATACTTAACCCTGGTCCAGAAACGAACATTATGTAATGAGTTCACCTGTCAGCATATTACATGGGCATGTATTAAGACATATTAGAAACATCGGTGACAAAACTCTACAGGGTGAAACGTGTGTGCAAAATGGGAAACTGCCATTTGACAATATCACATAACAATGCAAAAACATGCAGAAAACTATGTACACAAACGTTCAACATTATAAGTAACAACATAAACAATTTGACAATCAAAAACATTTTGACCAATATATTTGAGAACAGCCTTAACACTGTTTCTTACAACCTATACGTGTGATACATTTCATAATATATGCCATATGTTTTTACGTTACATATATTCATTTCACTGAAATGTGCGCTTAGACGAGAGCCGATCTCACAGTCTCAAAATAGAAACGTGTACACATGAATGTATATAATATTACATATAGGTCCATGAGTCACAAGTCACCGAACATACATGTATCAATAAGAACACTATGATTGCAGTGCCGTGTAAACCTTATAACCGGTACCATCTACACGCCTGTACGTTAATACATTTGAGCACCAGTATAGGCGAATAATGACTAACACCCCCATGGGGTATTGGGTAGATGTTATCAATGAAGGGATGGTCAAGGCATCGGAAACCGTTTCTTGTTTTCATTATATTTATTATTGTATAAAGGTGATGTTTTTACTCTTGTAAACATAAAGAAAAGGAAATATTTTCCTATGTAATCGGTTAAATAATCACAAATGATCTGAAACAAGTTTAAATAATTTCAAGCACGTTACAAAATCGTTTCACAATGTTCATTCCTTTTTTATAACATCGAGTTGTTGAGCAAGCTATATTCAATTGTATCAACTGTGTAAATGTCAAACAAAACTGAACTAGCACCAATGTCACTGTGTTTATATTTGGCACATTTTTTGGTAAAACATTAAGTTTTCGACCCCAAAGATTGGACAAAAGACTAATGGTATTGTCAAATATAATAACTTTTGTTACATTACAAAAGCTACGAACAAGCATCTCATGTGTAAGTGGGGCGTGTGCATAGGAAAGTGTGTAGCTGCACATGTTTAAAATGCATAGATACTAGCACCAGTTATCAGCACGTAGAATACCACAATATGACGAAGCATATTTGAGCATGAAACTTCACCAACTGCACTGTTGTGAAGCATATCGGATGTTAATAAGCCAAATCACAGCTATCTTTGAACATACATATAATATGTAATTCAAATATATTATTTTCATTACACGGATACGTATATTTCTAGTTATATTTTAGAATATGATTTTCATGGCGTTTTGCCTTTAATCTCCTTTTAATCCTAAGCTTTCTCCTCTGCCTGGCCATGCGGGTGTGGCGTCTGTAGGCGGCCCCTGTGCCCTGGTAGCAAGACATGCAGCACATGTTCCGGAAGCCAGCAAACCGGCATTTCTTCACTGATGCGTACGCGCAGAATGAGTATTTGTCCTTCTTACACGAAGGTGGCGGCTTAGGAACTGAAAAGAAAGAAGGACTTACTTCAGTGATTCCAAGAAAAAATGGCTTGGGCTCCTATAGACAAGTACTAATATATTTTCGTCATTAAGATACAGAAATGAAATCCGTAAAACAGAATGAGGATACGTAGGTATATGTTGTGAGGTACATGCAAACAAAACTCTGCAGACATCCTTCGTGAGAGCAATGCTCTGATGTTACAATGAATAGGATACTGTTCTGATATTGTACAACGCTATACATATTCTGTGATGTATACAAGCATACTCGAAACAAGCCTATTGTTATCTTTAAGGAATCCTGTAGCTTGTGGAGAAGCCCAGTGGTAACAGTGATATCCATGGGCGTGTTTGGTCTCCAGAAGAGTAACTGTGAGATTCTTTATAAGTCGGCATTGTGTCCATTTTCAACACTTATTCAAAATATGACCCACTGGTGTAAGAGGCGAAAATCTCTGTTCTGTATTTGCTCAACGTCATGTGAACTACTTCCTCGTATCGACTGCATCATAATCGGCTGGACGTTCGTGGTGCAGATCCGTACTGGCTAACCAACTTACAACAACCAGTATTCTACATGTATCTCATCCTGTTGCCTATCTATGCTTTCCCGACTCACAGCAGGGGCCTTTGCTACATATCTTCTCTGCAGTGGGTATATCCTCGTCACAGACGTCGTCCTCACTCCAGTCGTAGAGGTCCCCGCACCACACCTCCCGCTGCTGCATCCCCATTCCGCACGTCTTGGAACACTACGGTGGAAAACAAGCCAAGTAACAATGCCCTTAAACTCTACGGTAGACGTTCTACACCAGCATAACGCATTGATAACCACACCGACTATTCAGACTGTTTGAGATGCTTGATCAGGGCCTCCTTTCACCTTAGTGATCGTAAGTCACTAAGGTAACCTTAGTGCAATGTTGACGAATGGGAGTTAAGGTTAACCTTAGTAAAGGTTGCTTTGTGAAAGGGGCCCCAGATGGGTTTCTATTTAGAAGTGTTCGAAGAAAGTCAGTGTCTGTTAGTAACAACCGTTGTGTTAGTAACTATCTACGGTAATATCGTACTTCACTCCACTCTCCGACGCTCCAGTTTAGCATGCAGGGGAATCGGTTACACTCCACTGTCTCGTTAGGTGGCGCCACCTTCTCGCAAAAGTGATGGGGGACGTATTCAGTTGAAGCATTTGGGTAGTTCCTCTCACAGCCGTACATCTGTAACTTGTAGCCACGGTCGCCACACGAGGCGGAGCAGTCAGAGAAGTTGTTGAACATCGCCCAGATGTACCTGATGTGGGACACTTATATAGCTGAAGGCGGTCATATTTGCTTGTGAAGGGAGTTCTGTGTTGTTTTATAAAACCTATCTTTGATATCCATCTATCTACTGTATCTACATGGGGAAAGACCTAACAAGTGATTCACCATACACTTAGGTTATGCATAATAGCAGGTCGTTTCTATAAACGTAACAATTAGTATATTTCATACAGCCTTAATATTTTAGATATGTAAGAAAGAGTGAATGAGAGGTCATGAAATATTCTACGTTTCATTGGGAAAAAAAACACTATTAATGACAACATTTTGCCGACATATGTGCATTACTTTTAAGTGGACATCAAGCGTCATGTTTACACTGCAAGGTAAAGACCAATCATGATCAACATGTAATGAAGTCAGACAAGCAACACATGGACCATCACGTCGTTCAGGTGATGCAGTTACCGTATTTGGTCACATGACTCCCTGTGGCACGTGGCCTGGTCTTGTCGTGGTAGGTCTAGGAAGCTGCACATTTCGTCATTCAGTTTCTCGTCGGTGTTCTTGTCGAAGCACCCGTGCATGATAGTCTGAACTCCTGCAATCATCGAAACATGTCATATACCACTCAAAAGATATAAAAACACAAATTGTTACGACGACATTAACTATATGTGTCGCATTATATATGTGACTGTGTAAAAAATGGGTGTTTATATATCGGCATATCATCGTTTACACGAGCAATGCCATGGGACAAGACCACTGGTCACTTCATGAGAATGCCTTAAATAACCATCGCGAGTGAACGAGCTGTCTTTTGTGCCTGTTTCAACTCTGTTTCGGCTACATCGGTCACCCTGCTGTTTGAGCTAAACCCGAAGAGATACAAGACTGAGGTGAAACCCTATTGAACGGCAGAAATGGATATATGCAGTTTTAATAGGGGTACATGTGATAAGATGTCACGTGACCGGAAACTAGCGACATGTGCTTGTCAATATTACGTTTATGTGAATGATATTAACCATTCTTTATTATCATACAGACTGAGTTATTCTAATCATGCACGTATCAGAAGTATTGTAGGCTCAGAACATTTTGATAGCCCTTGGGTGGGTGTGTGTGTGTGTGTGTGTGTGTGTGTGTGAATAGTCGTTCTGGTGTGAGATCATTCTGTGTTAGACACACATACACCATGTAATAATTTAAATTGATATTTACTCCATTTGTAAATTTAACTCTTGTAATTCTTATAAGAGTACAAAACTCAACACCAGGATAAGAAAATACTTTACCTGTGCCACAGGTTACAGAACACTCCGACCATTTCGTAAATTTCCATTTATACTTAGTTTTCTCCAAAGTGTGATCGTCTTTATTGACCGTGTAGGCGTAGGTGACGGAGGCAGGTGCGAGGTGTCCGGCTGGAAACAGCTGCAACCACACTGCTACATTACTTAGATAATCGCTTCAGTGTAGAACACACGTGGACACCATTAGGATGTTCTCTACGAGATACTTAATTATTTACAGTCATGTCAACTGGAGCAATAACATAAGTCTCGAAGATGAACCTCTTTATAGTCCTCTTTATGTGATCATGGACCATTAGTATAATAATGTAGAAAATAACAGCTTCAGCTTTTCATGCATATGAACAGTAAAAAGCTTAAGAATGTATCATTTACTCATTACTCGATTGATTCTACCTAACATTTCCTTGTTTCTCTTCACCTGAGACATACAAAAGTGTGTATCTTGCTAGGTATACCAAAGGCAAATGTTGTTTATTTTTTAGTACAATTTTGTTCTTAACGTACGTGTTATTTAGTGTCTATGTAATGAAAGAGAAAGGTGAATGTTGCAGTTTGTGGTAGTGAATACAGTGTATTATTATAAATTGGTTGGTTGTTTCAACCTGTTTGTTGTTTAACGCTGCACTCAGCAATATTCCAGCTATCGAGTCTAGACCAGACAATCCAGTGATCAGCAACACGGACGTCGATCTTCGCTATTGGGATACAATGGCATGTGTCAACCATGTCAGCGAGCCTGACCACCCGATCCCGTTAGTCGCCTTTTCTCACAAGCACAAGTTGGTAAAGACCCGGATCTTCACGGGTAGCATTATTATAAAAGAAGGCCTACCAGCCTAATATGACCAAAGGGTTGAGAAACAAGAAAATGCTTCCATTACCATAATTTCTCACGGAGAAAAGCACATAACAGATAGTATACTGTCAATATACACATGCATAGTTATATATTCTACTGCTATTGGTGAGGCTCACTACACAGAGCAAAGTATCGATGATAAGGTTAGATATTGCAGAGACAGCAAGATTTTATAGATATGATAGTGACAGAACGTAAGTAATCATAAGTACATGTGCGACCTTTCATCAAAGATACTCATGTAACTAGCAAAAGATAAAAGCCACCAAGACCAGGCACCAAGTAGAGAACCATAACAGAATAAGCAACAGAGTGAGCATATTTGCAATATAGATAAGTAAGCTGAGGAAATGGTAGCTTCAGAGAGTAAGGCACATCCTGAAGACATAAGGAAACCCTCACAGACATTAAGTTAGATATATAGCCTCAGTAAGACGGAGCATCATACGACCTATGGCAGAATACAGATTTGAAGCCTCTAACGGCGGAAGGAAGCTGCAGCCAAGAAGAATGTTCAGCCAAGAGAGAATCTACAGCAACTACTAAATAACATAAGAATGTTTTCCAGATATTTAGGGGTCAAATTGAGAAAAACGTGGTGACGCTAGCCTCCCTATCATAACTGAAATATATCATCAAAATAGGACTGCTACCCTTGTGATGAATTGGTTACCACCTTTTCGATGAACGCCATACATTGGAACTCTTCATTGTGTCTGAAGTATCTCTACTTTATCAATATTCAAACTTCCCAAACATCAGATAAGATACATCCATTGGAGTCCCCATGGACTTATGCGTGAATATTTGGGTATCATAATTATATCAGAGTCACTTCTACGGCAATAATAAAATGTACATATGTTAGCCCATCTCCAGTTTAAAATATGAACTTTAAGTATCAGCAAGATATTCAATCAAAACAGCACCTTTCTTATCCAGAGCACCCAAGTAATAACCACATCCCTTTTGCCTGAATCGTGGGAACTTCTCATATGACAAACACTGTGAATACATAGGCTGAACACATCCCTTCTTCCTACCTCATCTCAAAGATGGCCTACATGGGTGTGTACCTCATGCTACTCTCACACATTAACCGTCAGACCTAATCAAAAGACGTATCCATCTGTATGACGAATCTCCTATTTCCGAAAACATGGCAACCAACTGACCATAATCTCCAAGTTTTTCTTCAAAGGCCCTCTGGAAACCAGACTTTCGTATGTTTGTCCCCTTGCGTATGTGAAGAACGCCCCCTCCGCCACGAGCTGTTTGGAGCCCTCCTGCTTCCCGTTGCCGTTCATGTAATAATCGCCTCGTGCTGGGTCCTTCATTGCTGGAACAGTAGATGACGCATTAACAGAAGACATTCTGCAAGCATTACACTTTTCAAACTCTGGGCCAATCAGCTTTCCCAAGAAGGGTGTAATATCTTATGATATAATTTAAATGACATATGGGCAAGATGGGTGAGTACATACTGCGGTGGTGGATAATGTGTGTGAGAGTGAGAAAAATGTGATGTTTTAGAATACATACAGCTTACATGTGGATTATCAGTATATTAGGCATTTAAAACGTTTATTGTACATGACAAAAAGATCAAGTGCGTTGGTGCAATCAGATTACAATATGATGATTGATTACCCAGGAAATGCGGTGACTCTTCCGTTTTGGTTATTTCCACATTCCGGGCTCCGTGCGGAAGGAACACGACTTGTTCATATTCATCTTCTGAAAGTCCAAATATTTGACATAAGTATTATAGACCAAAGCAGTCATTACAAACGTACCATGACACGTTGTGAGTTCTGTATTCCTTTTCCCGACAGTAACTATGTGTTATGATTACTTTTATTCACATACTTTTATTCACAAACTTTACATTTGAGTTATCTAAATTGAGCGCAAGGTAATACAGTGTCACCTTTAGTAGGCCTTCTGAGGAACTCTCCTGTGACGGTTTTACAGAAGGAGTTATCTCCACCACAAACACCGCAGCTGTCACTCTTCTTGGTTGAATTCATCACACCGTCACACCCCACATCCTGTGTTGGAATGTAAATAACAAAGATAATCCGATTCACATACATATGCATAATCATAATGAGTTTAAGACTGAAATTTCACTACCCCGACGTTAAGCAATCAAGTTCGTGGTGATCAAAGTTCTTTGATTCCTTTGAAAGGTATTTATTGGTAGCGAGGATAGCTGGCCACGAAGTAGGCTCGGGTTTCATTCTCACATTTGTAAAATCTAGTTAAGATCTGCCTTCATGTTGAATACTGCCTACCGAACACTCATTCTGACAGTTATACTAGTTGTATACATTGGTTCTTTGGACAAGCGCAGCTCATGCATCAAGCCCAGTTTTACGACTGGATTTACCGACTTGACATGAACCCCTTTCCCCATCTCCTTCTCCCACAGTGATGACAGGGCAGATCTACTGTCTACAACGTGTTTGTCCACTAACACATGCATGGCTTTATATCCACAACTGATGAGGGAAAATATTGACATCTTAAAATTTTAACTATTGCCATTTATTTTTCTTCTAATGCCTGGAAAGTTAAGACATCTTAAGACACTGGTTTCCTTTGGTATTGTGCACATACTGACGTGTTTTGACTGAATATATTTTCAAAAGGCATGTTGATACATTGAATTTGCACACGTAACGTGTGGCCACAACCATTCACTAGAAAAGGTAAGGTTGATACTAACAAAACATTTTCCCTCTATGCAGATACTGAAGTCGGTGTCGTATGTACACGGAGTGCCGTCTTCAGTGTTGATGTCGATGGTGACGACCTCTCCAGTCCTGTCCGACTTACAGGTTTGTCTACACCAATCCTCCTCTGAAAGAGGAACACATGTGTACTCTTCCGTCATTCAATGAGGCAACGAATCATTTCATGAATATTATTTACTGAACTTCAAACAAAATTGATCTAAGTGCAAATCTCCTACGAATTGTTCCCTGACCTAGTTTAACAGAATGAGCCTTAACGCGTCTGTCAGCCATAGGAATATCTAGACAGTATTTTCTACTCGTTTCGGCTGACATTTGACAGTTGACAGTCTAACCACTCTTTGAGAATTGTCAATTCATGTACATTCATGTAAAAGTCTAGTACACGTGTTACCAGAGCAACGGGCAGGTATAAGTCAATTAAGTGATGTACTTTCCGTCAGTGGAATAAATAAATACATACAAATGATCAACATATCCTTACGGTACGTGTTTTTGGCGAGAACAGTAATATTGTGATTTATTTTTAGAGTGCCGCTTCATGCAAAGTACATCAACTTAGTGATGGCGATAAGAGCTTCTTTGATGTTACTAGCGGGGCGCACTAACACAAAGCTGTCTTACCTGTCCGAGTATTTAACTCTCACACTATAAAACAAACTTTCAAAGTCCTTAATACTTCACATATATGATTAAATATGCTATATTATTTAGCATTATCATCGCCCTTATAATTATTTGACCAAAAGCAACTGCTGCTGGTCACAAGGCTACGCGTGTATTCAGCTTCAGAACACTCTTTCCCCAGACAACATACGTACACATGAAGAAATAACGGAAACCACATGGTGTATATATAATCCGTTTTTGTCAACTGTGTATTTGTATAGTGGTCGTAGAGTGGTTTACAATCATCACCAGATTTTATTATTATAGTGTGAGTTCCTGAAATACATAACAAATGTTGTAATTCAACAATTACAAATGCTGTGGAAATTTAGAACAGATCCGAGCATTTCACAACCTCTCGAGTGCTACAGAATAAACCCTTATTAGTGCTCCGCGCTAGACCGGTCAGTGTTTCTATATTCGAAGGCATTTATTTATCATCGGTATTGTTTGAGTGAAAAAAGCAAGTATGTAGTTTGGGTTAGGAATATGACCATGGTTCGATGTTTGAGGAATGCATCCCAAATAAGAAGACAGACCCAGGACAGAATGCCTCCATTTCAAAGAAGCAGGCGTTTAGGAGGACACTGGACTGCCCTGACGTACTGTTTTTGGCTGGGAAGGGCTTCCAGGTGTGTCTCCCAGGTCTTACGTTCATCTCGGCCCACACTTCACACTCTCCAGCTCGGATGTCGGTGTACGTGGAACATTTCTGTCAAAACAATATTACCATTTATCTCAGACGTGCAGCTACAGTGCCCTAGACCATTACCTGGAGATTTGTTCGATGACCCTGTCTCATGAAAGAACTCTTTTTTGCATTTTCTTCATGAATATGATAACTAATTTTATCCTTTCAATTTAAATATGTCATCGCAACACAACGATCTACTATTGTGATCTTCAATATTGAATATATTTTATTGCACGCTCTCCAGTTTTCTTTTAAAGGAAGTTTTTATCATTGTCGTCACGCGACGTGTTATATTTCAGGTTTATTGCATTATGCTAATAAACAAATCTTCCCTGTAACGTTCACCAACCGCAGTCCGAAGATCTCACAGGACGGGAACATAAAATATCTCTTAAAAACTCTGTAGGTAGTCAATGCAAGGATGTATGCCTAAACGCATGATGTGAACAGGTTGAACAGATATTCAGTTACGCCACAGCTTGTCATTTAATGGACAAGGAGATGCCCGACACCGATACTGCAATGAGAGAAACCACCATCGATAGATCATCATTTTGTAGAGTTTGGCCGTGTGGTCCATCCGTGCCTTTGTCTTTTTGGTTTGGTTTGTTGTTTAACGCCGCACTCAGCAATATTCGAGCTATATGGCGGCGTAAACGAGTCTGGGTCAGCCAATCCAGTGATCAACATCATGAGCATCTATCTACGCAACTGGGATACGATGACATTTGTCAACCAAGTCAGCGAGCCTGACGACCCGATCCCATTAGTTGTCTTTTACGACAAGCATAGGTTGCCAAAAAACAATTCTAACCCGGATCTTCACAGCTGCCTCCTTTGTCAGTGTCGGAACGCAGTACATACCGTGCAAACATCGGGTGTATAACGTGTCCGACATGAACATATCCACAAGATGTTAGACACCTTCATGGTAACAATGTTCTACACCTTTTAAACATACTGATATATAATATAGTTTTTAATGTCTGTCGTGGGTAAACATTTGGTACCAGTACTACTACTTACCACCAAATCAGATACGTTACTATCTAAACACATTATTTACAAAGCATACATGCAAGTGTCATTCCAACCTCTTAACGGCTCGGTTATCACAGTGCTGCCAAGCCGAAGCTTGATGAAAGATGGTTGCTGTGAAAAGACCCTTATGTTGCACAATCATTCAGTTATTTCCCCATTGGGAAGGACTCGGGACTCTACCTTATTTAAGCATGTCCCCATTTCGTCCTTTCCGCCCTCACAGTCCCGGCCTCCATATTTAGGACTGCAAACATATATGTCTACATAACTGTACATAACTGACAACACACTGCAACAAAGGTATCACTGCAGATACACAACATTCCACGAGATTCCAATAACTATTAACAGTCTTAATCAGCGCATGTGATTAGCCGGTTTGTCTTGGTGGGATTGCAATGAGTACATATAAACAAAACCAGTGTATTAACCATTTAGGAATATGATGATAAACAAAATATGGTTGATATTAAAACTATATGAGTGAGTAAATAAGGCTGGGTAAAAGTCACTTTGAAATCTACTTCCGCTAGATCATATCAGCTTCTATATGAGGAAACCAGGAAGTGATGAAGGCTTTTAGAAGTTTAACAATTTGGCGAAACCCAAAACAACGGATATGGCTCTGACAAACCAACAAACACGATGAGGGTGAATGATTTGGTTGGTTGATTTGTTGTTTACCGCCGCACTCAGCACTATTCTAGCTATATGGAGGAGGTCTGTAAATAATCGAGTCTGGTCCAGACTGAGTGATCACCATCATGGGCATCGATCTGCGCGATTTGGATTCGATGACATGTGTCAACCATGTCAGCGAACCTAACCATCCAATCCCGTGACTCGCCTTTTACAACAAGCATGGGTTACTGAAGACCAATTCTAATCCGGATCTTCACGGATTCACACAAAACTCATGAACGCGAAGTGTGACGCACCACAATAGAAGGCCATTCGTGTCCAAGATTTAAAAAGATTAACAGCATGAACTCTAAATTACGCCATAGGTAGTGCTGATCTCACCTTGGGTTGTCACATGTCCGACTACGGTACCGAAGTCCCACGCCACACTCTCCAGAACACGGTGTCCACGATGACCAGTATCCCCACCGACCAATGACTGGAGACTGGTTGCCAACGTACTCACACCGACCGTTCACACATTGCTGTGGTCATAGCAGGTAGACCATTGTATTGCCAATATATGCTCCGGTTATAACGATACGGTATTATGCAATATGCAGCCCTGGTATAATGAATGTATTCATTTGCAAAAACATAAAATAACATTCAATTGTTTCCCCTAACACCTATACATTCCACGTTCACAAATATCACCAGACACTTTTGTCTGCTTGTTATTTAACGCCGATTTAATAATATACGGGCTGACAAATGAATAATTGTACACAAATAACACAAGCGATCGATCGAAATGTTGCAGTCATTGCGCTTTCTATGGATATTATTGATTCGTCGAGGAATCATTTACTAGTAAATAAGTTTAGATGCTTCTCTCCCCAGCCTACCCCTACACCGAAAATGTCCATAGTACATAATGCTTATCATTAAGAGTTAGTTACAATAACTTAAACAAAAATTTGCCATTGTTCAACGGCGTTGTCTCTCGTGACTGAAACAGTGAACGCTCTGGCACAAACCTATTTTACCAAAGCTCCAATTATATATCTAGAACATTTTTACTGTTACAAAAACCTATTACGTACCTTGTCCCTACCGCAGGGCGTTCCGGGAGCTGGCGGTCCCCTCTTGGTCCGGCATAGATGAGGCCGGCGGTAGTCGCCGCACCAGAGCATGTTGCAAGAGTCTGCGTAAAACTGCAGAAAACCCACTAAGGATAAGGCAAGTGCCATATCCCCCTCATACGGACATGGTTAAAATCAACAAAAAAGGATTATCACACAAAACAGACAATTTACAAGAGTTCAATAGGAACTTTAAAAAGGAACAAAACATATACAGACACTGGGTGTAAATAAACGATGCAAGCGTTTATTACAACAAACAACAAAACACACACATGGGTGATTTTTTATTGAGTACATAATATAATCACTGCACATTGAGAGTAGGTAACAATGTTGAGGAAGGGAGTCATGCAACGTTGCAAAGGAGGAGCAGGAGAAGATAAGAATAGAGAAAAAGCTATTCGCACTACATTTAAGATAAGAAGGACTTCCAATTCAGATTGTTTGTGGATTAAGAACCTGTTGCTGTGCATTTAAAGTGTATATGAATATATCTATGTATTTATGTATATTTTACGTTTCATCTGCCATGCAGGGGTAAAGCAGAAACAGTGAACACTTGCACCACATTCAAAACGTGAGTAACTCGGTGACAAGGGAGAACAGGTAAAGAACATACCGAATTATATTCCTGTAGAAGAAAAGAAGACAGACATTGAGAAATACAGGAATGGGAGTACAGCAAAGTGTTAGTCATAGCAAAAACACGCTTCAAATCTGCCACAACATCAATAGAACTGCTCTCCAAACATCAGGCTGCACTGCATAGTTAGAGAATAGTTAACACCTAGTCAAGAACCAATCTCAGTCTTCATCACTTCGCAACTAGAAACACAACGCCATCCTTTCTATGATGTCTTAATGATATACTACTGCTGTGCGACACTAGTTAAGAGTATTCGTTAGAAATTCGAAGATCAGATTTAATGATAATCAATTAAATGCGTTTTCATATTCTTAAATGAAACGATGAGAGTAGAGTTCAAGGCACATATGGACTTAGACTCCTTATATATTTGCTGTTATCAGATAAGTGGCTGACAGAAATTGATATTTCAAGAAAACGTAAAGCACATAATCTGATTTGATTAGCATTTTAGAAGTTGGTGACTAACAGTACAGGCAAGACACCTTATGGACGACATGTTCATTAGGATGCGACGTTTCAGTAGAGATTCTTTTACCGCCGTCAGAATCAAGAACTCTGAGCTCTCTTTGTTGTAAGAAACATATTCTACCATTTCAACAGATACATAGGTGATCTCTAAAGGAACTCCTAGTTGTCACTTAACACTATATGGCTTGCATACCAGGCTGAACTGATGAAGACAGAGATTGACCACACACCTCGCGTTAAGATTTTGCCTCTGGTGAGAAGTATCAAAGAGACAATGGTTTGTATATCAGAGTGGGGAGTAGCACCGGAGAAGCCACAAACAATGCTCTCTTATGCAGTCCAAGGTGACCCATATTGCAAAGACAATATGCACATGCGCAGTTTGTTAGAGAAAGGGACCTTCATGACAGCTGGAGTTTACCTTATTCATTTTAGCGACCGTGACATTTTGGCACTCATTAAGGTAAAGATTGATTTGACTTCGCCTGTGAGGTGTCGATAGCAAACATTATTTTCGTTTTGTTTGATAGTCTTATTAAACGTGACAATAACCAATTACAATATTTAAATGATTCAACTTTTCAAAATCGCAGAAGACATCATCTGAATATAGTCAAAGTATCAACCCTGAAGGCATGCTTTCTTGGGGGGAACAGAAACTGACAGAAAATACGACATCTCACACAATTTCAAACGGTAACGATTCATATGTAACAATTAAACACAGAACACGGATCTTTCACAAATGAACATGATCTGAGACGTTTAACAAGGGTCACAAGAGGTGTTATATTTGACTTCGATGAACGCCAAAGACTTTACTTACAGCTCGACAAACTGAAAACTGTTCTCCGAACTCCAGAATGCACTGTTCATTTAGCGACCAGTTCTTTCCTATAGCTGCAGGTAATTCTGGCAGACCTTCCAGTTCATAGGGATCATCATATAGGCAGTAAAGAGAGCTGATAGATAAAAGCATAAGTTCATAGCATCATCAGCATCTGGTTAGGCAGGGGTATATTAATTAATTTTCTGACAACCATGCGAGATTGAATTCCTTAAGTCAAATTAGGCGTTTCCAAATATTACCGTCGTTGTTAGCTGACTTGCTACTGTTGATTCTAGATACACAAAACACATGTGGGTGTTTTGAAGCCTCGATGACACATTCTCTGAACTCTACTTTAAAGTAAACATTTGGTTTTTGTGATAATTCTATATTACCATACTCCTATTGCCGTCAATTTACATGACACTAAATAGATACAAAAAAACGCACATTAACCATTCAAACGTTCAGAAATGAGCTGTGATACGGGGTGCAGTACTATCATTTGGTCAGTTGAGACTTGTCTCAATGCTTACTTAACCAGCGACTTCATCCTTTCTTGGCTGCAGATTGACCACCAATAGTGGTTCAGCTTGGACTCCACAAGAGTCGCCATTATGGCTGTTCGGTACTCGCGCCCATGGCAACGGTTGCCATGGCCATCATGGAATAAACCAAACCTAGAAGTAGTTTCAATGAAGTCATTCACATTTCATTTAGAAACCTGTTTGTCTTAGTACATAAGCACATGATAATACACTGTATCTGTTTCATACTGTCTAAATCATAAAGACGTTAAAATCATCAGATCAAATACAAAAAGTACACATTGGCATTTATATAAACACTACATAGTGACCTGTTATGAAAATATTTCAGATTCTCCAACTATTATATGTTCCCTTAACAGAAGTTTTCACTGTAGAAGGAGTAATTATCAACTTCAATCTCATGGATAACTCCAGTATATCATTACTCACACGTGTGCCATCTCATGGGCTATAATAAAGGCCGACGTAAATCCTTCATCCTTAATAGCAGCACAGCTACGTATCGGGTTACAGAGACCGGTGATAGGAGCGTAACCTGAAACAAGAATTCAACGTCATTCAGAACAAACCATCGCAGTTTTAACAATATGTATAGTAATATTTACTAGGACTTCTAGATCCCAAACTGATCATCATGTATAAAACATGAGCGGACATTGTTCACGACCAGCGGGATGATTTTGTAAGCATTCAAGAAACTGATGTGACGGTGTAGTTTCTAGTTTGCTATTTTGAAGACATGATATGACAAAACCTCTTTGGAAACCTGACTTCTGGTTCGTGATGTTCTACATCACTGTCACACACACCAAGATGTAACTACTTTCAGAGATGACCTACACCATTTATATATATCAATATCGTTTGATGGAACCTGTGAGATGATTAAGCACAAGTATTGAGTCTGGCTCAGATTATGCTGAGCTACTTGATCTGAACGGCAGCTGTAGACAAACGCTTAGTCTCTGAATACATGTATATATAATTCTGGTAGTAACAAACGAACCCACTCAAAGTTAAAAGAAGCCCAAGGGAGACCAGAGGAAATCTAGATTTGCTTCATTTAGGGCGTTAGCATTGCAGAGAGGGCTAGGCAGTAGGGAAAATAATGTGGTTCAGGGATTGTGAGACAGACTAGGGCAGCTGCATGATGCTGAGTTTCGTGTCTGGGCCAGTGAAAGGATTGTACGGAGCTATTGGGCTGGAGAAAAGATTATGTAAAGCAAATAAATATACCCGAGAGATGCGAGTGCTGTTGTACAGACCGGGACAATGTCTCTGTGCACCGTTCCGCTCCTAGTTTACAACACTTACTATTTACTTTAAGAATACTCTCAAGCTCTGAGCACATTGAAATGTCAAGGGATGAGATGTTTATTTAAGATTGTTTTCCTTTCTTTACAAAACCAAGCATTGGCACTCTGTCCGTCATTATTCGCATGCATGTACTCAAAGCATACCGTAACATGTTTTGTGTCTCGATATGCCACTGTCGGTACGAATCAGTGCATGTGAAGCCGTACATAAATGATTCTGTTACCTAGGTGTGTCGATGACGCACGATGAGCATAGTTCTAAACATATCATGTAAATAGATACGACACTTACATTTTGAGAAATATATGTAGCACCAAAGGTTGCTTGTTATTTCGGTGATATAGATGTTCAGTAGTGAGGATGTGCTCGGTCACTTTTCACTTATGTTATTTGATCGTTCTACCCAACTACACAACATTTGGACATGGTACAAAGTGGCTCCAGTGTTATTTGCCATGCTTTCAGGACAATCTGAATACATTTTGTTAAAAGTTTGGGACACGGGAACAGGGAGGCTGAGAAACTCAACATGTTACTGATTATATCGTTTATGTAATGTAACAAACCATTGTTTGTTCGTTCAGGTCACTGCCTGTTTTCTTTGGCTTTGATACAACGATTATCGATTATTTTTCATTTGATTGTTGGTAAACGCCGTACATTGCAATATCCCCGCTATTGTAGCCGATATGTAAATAGTTGCGTCGGAACACACAAATCATGCTTTGACTGTTTGTTTGTTGTTTAACCCGTACTCAGAAATATTCCAGCTATAAATAATCGAGTCTGGACCAAACAATCCAGTGACTGGCATCATGAACATCGATCTAGACAATTGGGATTACACGACATGAATCATCCAGGTCAGTGATCCTGTTATTCGCCTCTTAGGGTAAGCATGGCTTGCTGAAGACCAATATTAACCCGGCTCTTCACGGGTCACATGTCATGTACATCTTGATCATTGATCTACGCAATTAGGGCACCAACCAGTATGGCGAGCTCGAACACTCTATACCGTTAGTTGCTTCTTCCGACAAGCATTGTCACCTGATGACTAAAGACATAATTTACCACGGATTTTCATGGGAGTATATACCATGCACAGTAATCAATACATATTGCATAATTCCATATGAGGGCGTTCACTGTCATACAGCATTTAGTGGCATGAGGTATCGAGGTTGATTTGCAGCCTTCATTCATTAAAAACATTAACATTCGAATTTCTTCAGTAAAGTAATGGAGATATGTGATCCTATATTCAACTGTGGGTATTTGTAAAGAAGTATTTCACAGATCCGAAGAATACATTTGAAGTTAGTTTGCACGAAAGGCAAGCATACATGTGTTACCCCTGTGTGGATTCCGGCTCAGGCTTCTTTCTGTTTGTGAGAGACAACCAAACGGACCAGGTGATCTGGCTGGGTGACTTGGTTGATAGCGTGTCATCGTACCAAGACAGCGTGGTTCGTTGCTCATGATATCGATTACTGGATTATGTTGTCCAGACACGATCAGTAGAGGCCACCGTCACACTGCTGAAGAACTGCTGAGAGCGTTGTGAAACGACCTACCAAACCGACATGCATGTCAGAATGACCTGACACGTGTGTTCCACCTCTTGATAGCAGGTGTTGCATTACCGGTAGGAGTAAGATGTTTGTGCGTGCAGTGCACATACCTGTCTGGGTCTCGTCTGGGTCTTCCAACCATTTAAAAGGAAATGACTATAAGCTTTATAACTGCTAAAGCTTACGGGATCGTATTATTTATTGTAATTCAATTAATCAAGTTATTTACATCGAATAGTCGATGTTAGATTAACAGCATGGCGTTTATAAGAGATCGGCAATGAACACACTGGAACAGTGCCTCTGTCATATACGGATTCAGGTTTATATTCCTATTAACGCTGAGACGCAGTCATTTTGTGAATAGTGTTGGTAACAGTGCAACTGCACTGCGACTGACTGTGATATATGTGAATTTATTTTAACACAAATCTGACAAGTTTCACTTGCATGTACATGAATGAATTGGCGAATTCCACAAGCACGGCTTGGGTCCTAACAAACGAAGAATCATAATCAGATGTGAGGATCCTGGTAAAGCCAAGGACAGATACTCAATAAATCACACCAGGCTTACACCTGGGCCACCAATGTTTCTCTCACTTGATATATAATCAAATCTGGACTAGTTAACCCATATGGGTGATCGATACAAGACACTCGTGTACGCCAATGGGAACGATCATGCCCCTGGTTGTATCTGAATAATATCCACATTCAGCAGCATCAGGTCACCAGGTACATTTGAAAAAGATAATGCACGGGTGACCTACACTGCCTCCTAATCAGCTAGAATGGTCTTTGAATGGCATTAGAAGTGATACACACAAGTAAGAGAGGTTTTTTTTATGGATGTCAACTTTTTTTATTATGAGGAACACAACGTTTCGGAGTATATCCTTACTCCTTCATCAGCTAGAATGCACATTAACCTAACACGTCTACGACGCGGGTTTCTCACACTGGTACAACGAAAGCCGAACATCTTCGTTGTTCTTTACCATACCATATCACGACCGTCATGGTAAAATCATATAACACTGTAATGTACTCACAGACCCAGCGGTGAAACTATTGCTGACGTGGGGAAAACAACATTGATGGCATAACAACATTCCTGTGTCTTCTTACATGACACAAAACAAGGTTTCTCTTCAATATGTCAATAGCTCTGTTTGTGTATACAGGCGTTAAAAATAACTATCTTTTGTTGTAATAAGCAAGCTAACATCAGTGTGTCAATGTGTTCGTTCTTGACAGTAACGCCTTTGTTCTTGCACGTGGTTTCCGTATCGTGTTTATGGTTTCGGATGAAGATAACAACCCCTATAAAAACTACTTTACGATTTCACAATGACCATGTGTACCTACTTGTCCCCATGCTTACCTGAACATACGATACAGTCACGACAACTGGGGGCATCAGTTAGTTATTTTATTACTCTCTCGTTGAAGATACCAGTGGTGAATAACAACGAACTGGTATTACACAGTGTTTGATACTAAAGCGCGTGTACTGTGAAAAGTTTCGCGACAAAATAGTGAAAGCTCTCCACATTCCTGTGTGTATCCAATGATACTATGTGTAGAGATGATAATTCACCGCGAGGAGCTTATGCACACTTGATGACCCACATAACCTCGTTGCTAGGCTGATGTCACATGACATTGTTTCGCCCGTGTTTCTTCCTACAACATTTTACAAATTGCATAAAACTTTGTGATAAGGGTTTTCCATCAACGATGGTAGCGCAACGTCAGTCCTACAGTATATAAGTTATGACAAATTTAGAGACTTTGGTTTTGTGGAACAGGTCTCCCTGGTTACAAAAGGTTGGCCATTGTACGGTATTTAATTCAAGCTTTTAATGTGTTTGAAGTATACATTTGTAAATCCCAACTGGATTACCCACAGGATAGTGGCTAGTAGTGAATAAAATACTAACGTCGCTCCATAATAGTAATTTTATGAAACGAGTTGAGTAGTATTCAGTCCGACTAGAACGCTATTTCTTTTTTAAATTATTCGTTCAGCTGAGGAAACATCTTACATGTACATGTTAAAAGGGGACATTAACACAACATGAATTAAGGTAAGTTTCATTTGACCATTAAATATTCAGGTAATGAGTGGAAATATGATGTTATTTTCTAATTTTGGCCGAATATAAATAAACCACAAATTGAATGTTAAAATACAAAGACAGAAGTCATCAGCGCACGCATCTTACTAAATCAAAAGTACATCTTCAAGGAGCAAGGTGTTCCCCACACACATTACGATACCCAGTAGGTAATTCACATCTCTCCTCCATCTGTCCGAATATAAGCTAGGACGCAAGATCTTCTCAGACATCTCAAATGATACACCATCTGATTGCTGGTTATGCTGCGACACAATGACCGACTCCGTCGTCTATGATTATACCACGAGGTGTCCGCCAAGGCGGGCACCTGCTGTGTCGGTACTGAAGATGACGGTCTACCTCGTGACCCACCTGGATGCCAGTGTCACAGCGTTCGAGACAGCGATCCTCTTTCAGTATTCTGTGTGGTAAATACACGCTGGCTATGGCTACCTTGTCGTATCTATAGCTACCCTGATGGAATGTGATGCTACCTCATATTTGTTTAATATCATGGTGAGAAAATTATCAACCATGTTCTCCCATGACACCGGTATTGCTACTTCTTTTGTCGGAATATATTATTCATTCAGAAACATCAAACGTCCACAAGATCCACAATCATGTAAGTGTTTCACACAATAGACGCCTATAGCCAACGAAAAAGGATCAGAAGGCCTACAGTCAATTTGTAAACGCTTCTTGGACAAAAACATCATACACAATTCCTCAACAAACAAGAGCATAAGGACTTAGATGAAGTCAAGCAGGTGTGATGCCCCTTACGATGTACTATAAATCGGACCGATGTCACCCCGGGTAAAACGTTGGTCTTGAAATATATAATCTCAACTCATCACCTAATTTCATTGCTCAGTGGATTCTCACCATGGACGATTCTCCCTGAGGGAAAACCGCTGAGGTGGGTATGGCAGAGTGGTTAGGATAAGTGCCCTTGATTCGGTTTCAAAAGACCTTGACAAATGTGTTTCAAGCTACATTTCAAACCTTTAGCAGATAATTTATAAAGGTATACCTCAGTCCTTGCTTGCCCTGCTGACATTAAATCAGTCTGTTGGATGTAAGTTATCGTCAACGTTGTAAAATCTAAGTCCATATCAATCATAAATATGCCGAAGATGGTAATAAAGTTTCATTCTTTTTGAAGGACTTAAGCTTTATTGTGGTCTGGTTGTAACCATGACTGGTTCCAATGGTCTGGATCTAATCTATAATGATTGGATGTACAAGTGTACAGCAGACACATTATGGAGCTGGGGTTTCCTTGATATGAAGATAATTAAGGATTTAGAATTTCTTTTGTAGACGTTATTTACACTTCAAAACTCACGGATAAAAAAAGTATAAACTTGACTTGGATTTGAAAAATATAGACAAACAACATCAAACGTTAGGCTGAATACAGACACTGCAAACCAAAGCTCCAAAACATAATTGTATTACCTGTGACAAACCGGAATATCATGATCCAAACATATGTCCTTGTTTGTTTCATTTAGCCATTATCAAATATGGGTCTATATTTTCTTTTGCCCGGCAATGTAGTTCTCAATGTCTTTATGTGAATATATCTACTTCCCAAAAATTATTTAACATAGAGAGTGATTATTATGTCCGTATGTAAGCCTGTGTTATCCTAAGGAATGTCTTAGATTCTTACCGATTGTTCAACAGTGATATCATACACAGTATTTACATGAACACCCATGACGTTGCAATTCATTTTACATGATGCAGTGTGGATAACTTTACCTCCTGCTGATAACTCGTTTTAGCTGAGATTAGTTCTTTTCATGTATTGGAAAGCTGAAACCAATTGCAATAGGGCGCATCGGCGTTTAAGAAATACTTTCAGGAGAAAGCCTTAGTCGTCTTGTCATCTTACCCAAGACTTGGTTGGATTATCACCAAGCCTCAAATATCCCATTAGTTACGTTTTCTAAACGGTTGAATACAGATGTGTCAGATGCAAATGTATTCAGTCGTACAGTAACCAGCGCAAGTAAATCAGATGTTGGGCTGCAATTATTGTATGCATCCATTTCGTGGTAAGGACAGGGTTAGTATATTACAGAGAAGAAACATATATCTTTAGTTGAAAATACGAGGAAAGACAATGACAAATTCTGAAGCTTAGGCAAACTTGAAATTATGTTGGAGAAGTTAGATCGCACTTGTTCACGTGACTAACTACTAGTATTTAATTTCTTTCTAACCTTGTTGGTTTCGGGCATATTCGTGAGAAAAGTACCCTAGATCAGTAACCAGACTGTGAGCTTGCCTGTGTCTCAAAATGACATTTGACAATAAACTGCTATCTCATTCAAAGAAAATAAGCAAATATTGTACATTGAATACTGAATACTGTAATTGCGTTATAAATTTCTTAGGCTTCATCAACCAGTACACATATATCCCAGATCTACAACATCTTTGTGCTCTGTTCCACAATTCACCTGCCATTAGGTTACTAAAACAAGCAGCTGCACCTACCTGCTGGACCTATGTCTTCTCTGGTCAGCAACACTGCAATGTCGTGGGTCTGTGGATCTGACGGCTTATACAGGTACATTGCCCATTCGCAGAAATTCCTGACTGTTTGATAAGCATTCCGTCTAACTGTCACTCTGTCGGCCTGGGATGAAATTAATATTCACTGTTAATAAATAACGATAGCTCTGTAGTTATCTAAGCTTACGAACCAATCGCAGTCACTAACACTTTCAACACCCGACACGATTCAAAATTGGTACCGTCAAAATAGATGTGGGGTATATTCCGGCGGATAACTGGAATTTGAGAAAACGTCCGCGTGGGACCTGAATTAAAACGAGAATATATTAAGTATGTGCAAGTGTAGAAAACTGATACAGTATAGTGAAATAAAATTGTTAACTGTATATATTGTTCCAAACAGCATAAATGCTTATTAGACCCCAACTCTCTCTCACTCTCTTTCTCTCTCGCTCCTCTCACTCTCACTCGCTCTCTCTTTCTTTCTCTCTCGCTTCTTTCAGTAATAGCTTATTATGATAACTGCAATTCCCTTACATAAATTTACGACTAATTACAGAGTGAGTGATATATACCATGCACGGACTTGAGCATTACGAAGTACAACTGTTGTTGGAAAGGTTATCGCGCTGTGTGACAAACGATAGCTTAAGGACTTAATTAGCGAGATAGTGTCTCCTCGGGAGTTGATGACTTACACTGTGGCGGGCGATCCGTTACAGCAGGTCAAAAAGTGTAATTCAATTTCGAGTCAGTGACACATTAACACTTTTCTGAACGTGTATTTTTAGCATAGGCCAACCAAATCGGAGAATTCAATGCTCAAAACATGTAACACTTTATCCAAAGTAAGTCAAACCAATTGTGGATCGATTTATCGTTATAATTTACTTATCTCTTTGTAGCTTGTTAAAACGTTTATGACAAACCATGATATATTACGAAACCTCATTGTATGTTTAGGGATCTTTTTCACATTTAAACAAAATTCGGTTCAAGAATGATTAAAATGAAATAATTCATGGCTTTGATGGCGCGATTGCTGTGGTCAACAGAACGAACCCATTTGATTTTAGTAGGATCCGTTGTATGATGAACTGACTGACCAAAACATAATTATATATATGCTAGCCTATCCGAAGATCAAAATATGTCAATAATCCGATTATATTACCCATCATGACGACTAAATACTGCATTAGTGTACAAAGAATGAACTACAGATACACACTGAACTATGTAAATAAATAGTGCATAAGTATTTTTTACGTTTGGTGCCGAGCAGTGTCGAAATTCCACACGCCTGACATTACAATCAATTACAGAGCAATAACAAAACGAGTAACCTAAGCCAAACTCGGACATAAAAATGCTGTGTCAACACCCTAAGTCAACGTTTTGCCAAATCTTAAAGACGGCGTGTTGCTGCATAATGCGTGCATCTGATTAGTAACTGAACTGTTACACGTTCTGTTATATTATGTTACACATTGAGGGACTGGTACGGTCATTTCTACAGTAAACATATACCTTGGGACCTGCACTGAAACTTTATTACAGTCATGTGTGTGGGTGACTGACGTTATATCTAACGTCAGCAGTATCCTGTAGCGTTGTATGTCACGGCGACCTGCTGTTTATAATAGGATTCAGACATGGCGCCGAGTGTACTGACCAGCATCTACGCCGAAAGTGGAGATGCCCGTTTCAACTGTTTTTATATAAGGGCATTGTGGTAACATGCTGTTAGAGTACCGATACTGGCCATTCGCTCATCACGCCGAAAACTAGTCCGGTCACTTTATGTGTATAATTGTGAAACCAATTCTTACTGTCAACCGCCGTGAAAGTAATCAAATACACAGCGTCACTATGAGTGAAAACCAATTCTCTCACTCTGCCTTGATGGTCAACTAAAGTATGTCCCGTATATATCGGCTTCAAATTGTTTTGAAAGGCATATATATGTTCTTCCCCTGGAACCATAAAACATTTAATCGTGGCATGTGTTGGTAACGGGTTCTATCCGTAGGGCAGGATACGTCCAACATTTGGTATTGTCACTATTTCATATTTTGGACTTTGTAGGAATCGTAAACCCGACTCAGCTCTTTGTAGATGTCTCTATAATGACTGGGAAATCGTTCTGACACTCGAAGTGAGTGAGTGAGTTTAGTTTTACGCCGCACTAAGCAACATTCCAGCCATATGGCGGCGGTCTGTAAATAATCGGGTCTGGACCAGACAATCCAGGGATCAACAGCATGAACATCGATCTACGCAATTGGGATACGATGACATCTGTCAACCCAGTCAGCGATCCTGACCACCCGATCCCGTTAGTCGCCTCTTACGACAAGCATGGGTTGCTGAAGATCAATTCTAACCCGGATCTTCAAGGGACCTCACACTCGAAGCCGATACAAGGATCATTAAAAGGTATCATCTGGAAATAGCGTTCTAATAGTTCAAACTAAATGTCATCAAGGGTGCAATAACGGTTCCTCAATCACTTACCGTTCTATCATTAAGTAAGTTTAACCTTACTAGAGACACGCGTATATCCACATCAAGACTGGAATGTTGATATATTGAGTTAACCTGCAAGTGAAGAGAGTACATGCTTAATTGTAAATTGTAGACTGTTTGTCAAAGTTCAAATGATATCTTTTGTCAGTTAGTCACTTACACGTCAAATATTATTTTCAACGATTGTTTTACATTTTCTTATGTCTAATCTACATGTATTTTACTTAAAGTTTAAAATCCTAAAGTTAACCAGTTACTTAGTCACAAAAACTAGTATGAGAACATGATAGCACTAGTGTATTTCACAAATCAACAGAGATAATTTAAACATGATGTTGAAAACATACGAATATCAGTTTGAATGTGCACCAAATGCCCACAGGAACGCACCTTTGGACCCTCAAAAGGAAATAAATGAAGAAACTCACTATATTCATTAACGTCATGACGTAGGTCTTGATTTTCTTTTTTCCAACGACCTGGACGGTAGATGGCGCCACTGCCATAAACACTTCCAGGTACTTCGTTCTCCCCCTTGCAGCTCTCTTCTTCCTCCAGTGGGCATCCATCTGGCCGTCATTATAATCTGAAACATATTTACTGATTGTCACAGGTCCTTTTATTTGTCCTTTTATCATGTTTAGAGACATCACGTATGGAATAAGTTTGCCGTATATACTATACTCACTATAATAATCATTTTCATCTGTTTGATCAGAACCTGAGCCAAGAAAGCGTCTGTTTGAATGCAATTTTCATATGCAGTCGTTATTCCGTTCTACTCCTCACACATTAATCGATGAAACTAGAAATTGTTGTAATATATACTAATAATGCCAAACGTCTTGATTCCAGCTCATAAGTATAGACTTAAGACGTTATTGAATCATTATTTTTAATCAAAATGCGTAATTTCCACGAGGTATGTTTAAACGGTTAATGGCAGTAGCTGTATTTTAGTCAAATGTGCCCCGCCTAATAATCTCATATGCAACACAAGTGAAAGCAAAGCAATGTGACCTTGAGTTAAAGCTTAAACTGGTTACTATTAAGAAATAACAAGCCAAACAAGAAGACAAGGTCATCAATATCCCCCGCCACAGTGTTCTGTTCCTATTTGGTTCCTGTTTTTAACTCCACCACGACATTTTATTTTATTTTATTATAGGATATTTATATAGCGCACATATCCAGGCAACTAGTGCATGCTCAAGGCGCTGGATTTGTGTCCATGAAACACAAATTTGGATTTGTGTCTATTTGTGTCCTGGAAACACATACCACATTTGGATCTATAACGGTTACTGAGAAAATGTGTCCCCATTGGGGATGTCGTGCACTAAGTCAAGAAATGCATGACAAGGGTCATAACTCTGTACAGAATCGTGTCATGGTTTCTGTATTCGTACTCCATCAAGGCATTCATGTCCTGAAAACACATGTTCCAAATTTGGTGTATCTGTCTATAACGGTTTTTGAGAAAATCCGTCCCCTTCATCTCGGACGACAGACGGAGCTCAAACCTATATCCCCCTCCCACTTCGTGGCGGGGGATAGAAATGTTAGCATTGCTCACAAATTGCCTCTGGCCGTGACTCCCAACTTAAGTTGAACAACGATATTAAACACATTTTGACACCACTTTAGAGACATGCTACAAAACACTTCCCTGTACTGGAAAATATGTGCCATATATATACATTTTTTTTTGCCTTAGAGAGTCACGACATGTTCGCGAAAAAAAACAGGAACGGTTTCAGTTAGCAGCCAATTGGGATGGTCATAAGGCATTTGTGTGTGATAAGCTTAAATGCAGGTAAAAACTATGAGAATAAATGATATGTGATACTTTTTCACAATGTATACTGAGTCAAAAAAGAAACTTCACATTCTTTTCCATCAGGGCACTATAAAAGAACAAGAGATGGTAAGATGGTTAAATTGTTATTATTTCATTGGTGAGATCTGTGTGATGTACTCGATACACTGACAGTGCCATAATCAGTTCCATTAGGCTACACCGCCGTTCTAAAACATGGGTATACAGAATGTCAAGTCACAAGAATAAAAATGCGAAATTTCACAGTTCAATATCGTGTATGGCCGCCCCGCGCATTCACCACTGCCAAACACCGTCTCCTCATCGACTGCCTGATGCTTGTGAACACGTGGTTGGGGATTCTGCGCTCTTGCAAGGCAGCGCCAAGTTCCTGCAAATTCTGAGGTTGGTTCCAAAGACCACGAAGCCTTCTCCCAAGTGCATCCCAAACGTGCTCTATTGGATTAAGGTCAGGGGACCTCGATGGCCAGTCCATGACGTTGATTCCAGCGTTTTGAAGGAAATTTCGTGTCAACATCGCGGTATGCGGCCGAGCATTATCATGCTGGAACTGTAGACCTGGGCCATGAGCCGCCATGAAAGGAACGAGTTCAGGGGTGAGCACCTGGTCGCGGTAAGCAGCAGCTGTGAGGTTTCCACGGATGACCAGAAGTCGAGAACGGTTGTTCCCACAGAAAGCACCCCACACCCGCAACTTCCGCCCCCGAATCTGTCGACTTCCTGTACACAACATTGGGCATACCGTTCACGACGTCGTCTCCAGACTCTATGCCTGCCGTCCGCGAATCTGAGGGTAAACCTGGATTCATCGCTAAAGACGACTCGATTCCAGTCTCTCTGGGTCCATCGGAGGTGATGTTGGGCCCAGAGCAGACGTTGACGTAGATGAAACGGCGTCAATATTGGCCAACGATATGGACGTCAAGAATGGAGATTGGCAGCCCGCAACCGATTTCGAATGGTCTGTGAGGACAGTCGACCTCTAAACATCTCAGCCCTGGTTCCTGTAGCCGGCAGAAATCTGTCACGTAGGTGACGTAGGACGATTTGACGGTCTTCTGCTCGTGACGCCACACGTGGACGACCCGACCTTGGGCGATCAGAAGTGGTGCCAGTTTGTTGTAGACGACCTCGCAAGTCATACACAGTACGACGGCTGCATCCCATTGCTCTTGCGACGTCAGTAACTGATCTTCCCGCTTGCAACATGCCAACGGCACGTTCACGTTGCACATTTGACAATCGTGGCATTTCAAGTACCGTTAGAACTGTGGTTTAAAAGTGTTTTTTCAATTCTTGAGGCCAATGCAAACACGTGCATATGAAGAAAACTGCGATGCGAAGATCACGTGATCGACTGCACGTGCAAAACCTGATTTGGCACTAACGTCATTTGCACGACTAATGGATGGGTTTGAGTGGGTTTTGCTAACGTTTTTCTAGAGTCGAAATATAGGGATCCCATCTCGGATACATAGATGTATCATCAGAAAAAAATTATTCATTATTTTTCAAATTACATTTTGTGAAGTTTCTTTTTTGACTCAGTATACATATTTGAACTAAAAAATTACAACTTTCTACATTTATAGAGAGTGTGCCCCATCAAACAGTTTCAGGTTGTTGGTTGAACAAATTTGCTATTGGAATTTTCAGAGTTATTCTTGAAAGTATTCAAGTGTCTCTATTACACCTTGCACTGCACCTAACCTATAGAAACAAGCCATCACCCAAACCTGGAAGCAATCCAGCAATTAATATATTGGTTGAATAAATTTGCCGTGGGGATTTGTCCCGACCTCAAAAGATGAAATTTGTGATAATTCTTCATAAATTAACACTATCATTATAAAACAGTTCACTAAATCTTTCTGTAGATATGGAAGGTGCTCCCCAAATCTGAAATCAACCTATTCAAATGCGTTCAAGTTATTGGTTTAACAATCATTCCTAGGCGTTTGTAAGTTCAAAATATGTAAATAGACTGTTGCAGAAATGAGAAAATCGGAACCAAACTTTGCGCTTCCCCTCTCCTTTAGACAAGAAAGATATTGTCTACATTTGAAAACATTCTCAGTCACAGGTTAAGACAGTCGGGTGGACCTTGGAAGAAAAACCAAGTTCTGTGGACAGTCAACTTCTTTATTGCAAGGAATGCGACGTTTCGGTGTAGGTACTAACACCGTTATCAAGCAAGTGATCCCTTGCCTGATAACGGTGTAAGTATCTACATGATACCGAGTAATAAAAACTCATACTGCCTAATTAACTGAGTATCCAGATCACCTACGAATTGCAATCACTGAAGCCTGGCGTCTCGCTTTAGTAGTCTAATTAAATCTATAAGGGTGTTGTTAGACATAGGCTGCTAAGGGTGAGATTTGAAATATATTTTTATGAAAATAGAAAAAAACAACCTTGAGAAGGATATATTGATATATAAAAATAAATGGCCCCAATACCGTTAGTCATTGCTAAGGATGGCAAACGTATTAGTTGCAGTATCATTCCTACCTCATCAACGCGGCGGACGCCATGCGTACCGCGGTGGCTACAGATTCAAGACCAACAGAAAGAAGGCAGACACAACATACTAGCGTTGTACCGAGTCTCGGTGAAAGGGAACCATACAGACTGTAGATGATCACCTAGTGAAGATAGGACAAGAACACAGCCATCTTCCTACTCTCTACCTCTATGATGACGAAGTCTTCAAGTGTAGACTTCTGGAGCGTGCGTCAAGTGAACCAACACCGATTCCTCAGATCTCCGATGGTGAGTTATCAACCCTGAGTAAGAATGCCGACACAGTACCCGATGATCACCTTCCGTACTTTCCAACCCTCGACGAAGTGAGGACAGCGTCCGAAGAAGATCCCCGGACTCCCAAAGACGAGGTCAGCCATTCAGCTAGAAGATGAATGGACCCGCGCAGATGCAGATAAGCCATTCCAAATTGCCTGCCATGGAGTCGAGGACAAGATTTTGATCTTTGCGATAGAAGAAAACCTTCAGTGCCTTTGTGAAGCAGATATTTTGTATGCGGATGGAACGTTTTATTCATCACCCAGACTTTTCCTGCAGACATATATACCATCCAAGCTGAGGTGCAAGACATCAGGTATCCCCTTTTCTACATGCTCCTTCCCAACAAGTCGAAAGACACCCACACGACTGCTTTCCAGCTACTGAAGACAGCAGCAGAGCGCCTAGATCTCAACCTACATCCACAGATTCTCTAGCTCGACTTCGAGAGAGCAGATACATATATATATACATACCAACATTTGTATAGCGCCGATATCCAGTTCAGCTGCTCAAAGGCGCTTTGGTTTTTCGCTCGATCACTGGATGTCAATCTCAACTGCATGTCGTATTATCAATCTCAACTCCCTGGGGATCATACAACTCTTGCAGCCACTAGGCGCACCGAGTTAGTGTGGCTTTCCCATCCTTAAGAGGTACCCATTCACAGCTGGGTGGACTGGGACACATAGTCACAGTACTTTGTCCAAGTTTACTGCACGTTGCTGTACCCGCAACTAGGTGTTTGCACGTATTCATGTGGCCACCATCTGGTCATATACCAACGGATTCGTGGGTTCTTTTAAGTGCACAGGGTTGTGTACTGTACACTAGGGGTTGTGACAGCACTGAAAGAGTCTGCACACAAAGTTGACTCCAAGGATTTTACACCCGGTCACAGGTGGGTTCGATCCCATCACCTCATGCTCGCTGTATCACTAGCCTGTTCTCCCACAACGCCCCTCGAATACTGCCATTGCAGTGACCACAACCTGAGTAGACGAAGGACGCTGGGACAAGCTGATCTGGAATAACCACCTCGAAGGATGGCGTTTCAAGTTGAACTAATGTTCATCTTGCCATCCAAACATCTTTGACTTTGGCCTACCCCTACCTAATAGATAAAAATTAGGTGGTATGGGTGGACATATGCTTGATAACGATGTTAGTATCTAATGGTTTGATCGTCATTCTAGAAGTTAGTGAGTCAAAAATGAAACATACAACTTTATAGGTGACAACTTCTTGTTTATTACATAGAGCCGATTACATACTATAAGCCTTAAAGTTTTAAGAATTAATCAAACTATAGACTCTACGACTGCACCCTATCAGTTTGTAATTACATACAGCCCCTGTTAATTGTCGTCTTTGAAGTAGACTAACTGTAATGCATTGTCACAAATATATTCAGTGCAAGGCCTTACAGTGAACACCCCACCCCACCCCCACTGCTAACAACACACGTTCTTTCCGACATTTTTTTCTGAAATCTTCCTTATACTAGTCTTGAGAATCCTCTGCATGCACATTATTTGTAGCCTCTGAAATTGAATCATTCCTCGTTTAAATATTTATATAACTTTAGTAGATGCTGGCAAACATACATTAAATGCACAGATTACTATACAACCATGATGACTTATGTGAATACAGATGGGTCACTCACTGGTAATACAACTAATGTTTACATATTTTTGCAAGGGGAACATGTGTGAAAAATCTAACATGACAGGTATATTTGAGTAGAATACTGTCTGTTCTATTTCACTAGTTTTTTGCTAAATAAATTGTGTGTGTTTATCTATTTCTTTCTTTTTGTGACTCTTTCTACTATATGTTAGGCCATGATGTAATGAAAGAGGGTTCTATTACAAGACTTATACAAGAGTGCTTGTTGTAAGTTAAATGCCAGCCACTGATACCATCTGTTAACATACATACTATGACAACTGTTTAAACGACAGTAAGTACTAAACTAGCCATCACTGCACAATTCAATTAATACGTTACAATCCACTGTATTTTACTTTGAACTCAATGCCAACCATGTTTGACTGTGACAGGCTTCAATTGTTTACACCTGGCACATTTTACGAAAGAATGACCAAGACGTGAAGTGAACACAGATTAAAAGACAAACAGTCATTGTATTTAGAAACACGAGAATAGCGTTCATCTTCATCAAAACAGTCCTAAGTTTAAGAATATATATATACTCCTCCGAAGGAAGTGTGTTCGTATTCCATGATACCCTGGGTTTCAGCTTCGTCACACATATGCTCTATTAGTTGTATTTCCTGACAGCACTTACTTTCTAAAGCTGTAGGCATAGGTACACACGCCCCACAGTCACACTTAAAATATAAACCATCGCTGTTTCCGTCTCGTGATTTTTCATCGACGATGGTTACAGTTTGAAGTAAGTGGATAGAAATCAGTATTACTCACAATCTGGCATTTTCCCACCACTACTACAATATAGTAAATAGTCTAAATAACATATATTCTCCCGACATCTAAATGAATTAATTCCAAGGGCTAATTTGGTATGGACGAGTATGTGTAAGGCCACTGGGCGAAAATTCAACCTTTACGTGGGTGTTATTGTCGATACCAACGAGAATGTTTTAGTGAACTTCAAAACTGCTGCAGGTCGACCGGCTACTATGACGTCAGGTCACGTGATAACTACTCTGCGTATTAACTATCGGTAGTTTCTGGAACGCGAGTACCTTTTAAACGTTGTTGTTTTTTTCTTGGCTATTAATATTGACTTTTGAAAATAAATCTTCCTCACGATACTAATTTTGATATGCCTTATAAGCGATTCAATTATAATAGTTTACAGTATAGCCTACCTCCTTTAAGAAGAGGGAATATATTTCCTTTTGGAGGAGTAGATACAGAGAAAGGAGATGGTTATTACAAATAACGTAAATCTATTCATAATGTGATTTAAGAATATTCAAAGTTCGAAATATACATTACTATAAGTAACAGGAGCAATACATTACGTCATGAAGCAAATTTGAATTTTATTATGTAAAATTTTGTTTGATAATATGTTAAACAAGACCAAAAGAACTTAAAGTAGTAGTTTTTCTAACAAGTATGAAATGGAGTCATAGTTTCAACATGCATTAGTAGTGAAGAACTTTCACAAAAGCTTCAATGGTGAACAGTCATAGGCGACAGCCAAAAGGGTTTACAAAGTAAAACATACGTTTCCGTAATTGAGTATATACTTTACACAATTACAGTTAACGCCACAACAAAGTTGTCAAAACTGAAATCAATATACATTCTCGAGTGTTATTTCTCCTCAGGCGTCCCTCCACAGAGATAGACACATCACCTTGACTACGTATCTCTAACACTTGTTTTCACAACATCAGACCTACTTCACCCAAAGGTATTTAAGTAACATTGTAAGGACGATAGTGTTATTGGAACCATGAACAACCATAAATCCAGTGTGCCTGAAGCCCTTCTCTACATACATCTTGTATTATACATACACCGAAGAATCTCATTATGGTAACTAACTTACACGTCATCCAACTACACAAGTAGAGCCACCACTACACCGGTCTACATTAGACCTACAAAAGAAAGCATCTTACACCGCCACATACTGGTTTCGTTATCCTCAGTGAATCTCTAAAGCCAAGAAGATTAGGTTCAGTGTACCAGGGGGGTAAATTTCACAATTGGTCGTTTCCTCTCAGATTTGGATCATGACCCAGTCACATATCTTGTGGTGAATCAGACTTTCTAGGATTTTATGCGCCCTTAATCCAAACAAATGTGACAAGTCGAAAACGGTTATGGTCACCTGAGCCCGATATATCAAATGAGATACATTGTGGCAAAGAGACACCCATATACATAACACGTACTATAGATGCAAATGTTTTTTGGCACACCTTGAAAGTATTAAAGGTAGATGAAGCTGTTCTGGACTTTAAGGCAGGATATAATGAAACAAAATCGTGTCTTGGAACGGGTTCGAATCTCGTTCGAGGTGTTTCGTGATACCCTGCCAAAGTTGTTTTCTTGTCATTTAATTCAAAGTTGATTTTTCGGTGTATTTCAGTATAAATGTATTATTTTCGAACATGCATTTAAATATCGTTAAAAGCGTCTGTCAGATTCAAATTGCTGAACAATTCATGTTTTCCCTCCATACAACTGCTTATTACCTTAAATCTAAGGTTTACAAGGCTCAGGGACTTGCGAGACTGAATCAGTCGTTCAATGTCTTTGCTCTTATCCCGGGAATCACCCTAGTATTATTACCTTTGGTCTGTAAGCATGCAGGGAGCTGCAGGACTACTCCAACATGGAACTTCAATATTCAAATAAGCTTTAAACCTCACTTACCTTTAGGCGCCCACTGGTGAGTTTCATTGGCCGGCTCCCTATCTTCACATGTGTAAATCACGTGAGCTTGCAAGGAAGTGTCTCCCTGACGACTTGCTGCTGGTTCAATAAACAGGATCTCATCATCTGTCTGTATGTATCCAGCCTGCAGGATTAAGGTAGATTGTTTTGAAAAAGTCGCATTGACAATATTAACACTGAAACTCGTGTCAATATAAACACTGAAAACTCGTATCAATATTAACACTGAAAACTGAATAAACAAACACAAGGAACAAACCAGGAGAAAAGGTAAGATGAGGTGAAAAGTAATTTAAGGTCGCGTTGACGAATATTTATTTCACTCAATTAGGTATATGCACATGTGCATGTGTATATGTGTGTGAGCGGAAGCGGACGAGAGAAAAAGAACTGAGTAACGTGTACATTGTTTACACTCGCCTAAATTGGCGATGCATATGATACGCAAGGTGATAGAAATATTATTAACACGGCATCAAACGCCTAGCTTGTTCCGTCATACAGAAGAAGAAGAAAATATTTCTTTTTTATGTGTCACATGTTATATATAAAACATACATAGACTTCAAAACATTCAATAAAATATAACATCCGGCCATATTGCCCATGAGACACAACGCACTATATTATATCTAAAACAGATAGTAGTAAATAAAATATCACAGCTTTGTAAGCAACAATGGAGTGTGGTATATTTATTTAATTACATGACTACAAACTGCGTTTGAGTATGGTTACGGAGAAGAAAGAGTGTTATTATTTGTGTGTAACATATTATACCTTAAGACACTTAATATAAAATATAACATCTGGCCTATGAGACACAAGCCACTACATTCTACCTAAAACAGATCGTAGTGAATAGAATATCACAATTCTATAAGCAACAGTGAAGTGCGGTATATTTAATTACATGACTACAAAGTGCGTTTACGTCTATTAAACATTTTAGTAACTAATGCAGCTAAGGGTTTTATTAATTTAACATTACCTAGCATATATGCGGCCTGGTCAGAAGGTGGCAAGAGAGAGAAAAAAGGGTGAATATTTAATACATTTTCCCACAAGTCATATCGTAAATCCGAATATAGTGGACAGCTGACCAAAAAGTGAACTTCGTCCTCAACCGTATTGCCATCACAACATTTACAAATTCTATCGTGACCCGTGAAGATCCGGGTTAGAATAATTTTATTGATCTTCAGTAACCCATGCTTGTCGTAAGAGGCAACTAACGGGATCGGGTGGTCAAGCTCACTAACCTGGTTGACACATGTTATCATATCCCAAATGCGTAGATTGATTCTCACTGGATTGTCTGGTCCAGACTCGATTATTTACAGACCGCCACCAAATAGCTGGAATATTGCTGAGTGCGGCGTAAAACTAAACTCACCCACACTCACTCCGCCGTACAGGAATTGTCAAACGAATCCTGCAGAAGAGTTTTTTTCCAAATAATTTGACAAGACGTTATAAATAAATTTGATTTTCCTTCATAAATGTACAGGTGGACTATGTCCATGATCAAGTGTCCAATGTCGGACACGTCTGAAATTAGAGAAATGTGACAAACTTATGCAGTGTATGTAAGTATCAACTATGAGACTGATATATATGTAAGGGAATCAATGGCTTAAATGAAACTGACTTATATACCAATATGCTGGTGCCTAGTTCCTCTTAAATGCGACTATTGTTGTTGCAATAGCATGTTTACGACATATGACTGGTTGTACTGTGGCCAGAGAACGGCAGACACACACTAATCTTACGTAAAATATCTTAACAGATAATGCTTATCATTTTACCAACTGTCCTGTTCGAGAGAAGGCAGGGTGACTTTATCGTGGAAAACAACCATGCTACAAGTAAAAAACATTTCATATCTGCAGCAATATAGGGAGGCAGAGAGTTGCATGAATGAGTTGTCAATATGCCAAAGTCGTGATGGAATTAACTTTATCTCAGCTTTCAGCATATGGTACATCGTCTGGTACATACACATCTCCATATCTGAAAGCAGTGGTTAATACGAGGCCCAGCTCACAAGAGCGATGATACGTTAATACATTTTTGGTCAAACATTTACAATTATATTTTGTATCATTGTTCTATTCTGTATTCATTTGCGAATTAACACTTTTCAGCTCCAAATATCTACTTTCAGGTTGATTTTCCGCTTTCAAATAAACAGGCAAATCCTCTGACACCAAATCCGTTTTCGACTTCTTACGAATGGAATACTAACCAGACCTTGGAATACAGGACAGCGACAGCTGAACAAAGTAAGGGCATAATGGCGACCTCAACCCGGCGTATCATTAACATTGTAGACAGATAAAAAAACAGGAAGACGATAATTGGCACGATAGATTATGCATTATCATTACGTCAAGCAGACTGAAGCCAGGGAGGCAAACTGCAATTGTGGATATTGTGGTTGGGCAGTTAGGCGTCTAGTGGTATGACACCTCTCTTGGCATGCCTGCCTTTGACGTACTTCAGAAATTGTGGTGAATTGAATGGCGCGGATTTCTACACACCGTCAGGAGTCTGTGGTGTATTTGTCAGTCGGGTATTTTATTACAAGGGTCAATCCTGAAGGGATCTGGGTCGAGGCGGTCCGACATGAATACTGCATGAAACAGCTTATTGAGTGGAATCTAATCATGAACTGTAAATGCGTTTACATTTGTTAGTTTGTCGTTCCAGTTGATATATTTCTTTCCCTCGCAAGGATTTTTGGTGTGTGTGCGCGTGTTTGGGATGGAGGCGGTTCGTGCAGTGAGGGCTGTGTGGTGATACCCTTAAGCCAGACTGTCTCTTGGGCGAACAGACTTGTCCTCTATGCACTTCACTTACGTGGTCTCAGAGCATCACATGGTAAATAAAACGTTCATATCGGTTACAAACATGGTCGTGAAATTTTTATGCCGCTTGGAATGACTCTTGAAATATACATACTGCAGCGTTCAGACACGCAAACATGATCTCAAATAAGCATAACATGCATATATACATTGAAAGAAAAAAGTATTGAATAGCTAATGCAACAGTAATTCACAAAACAATCACCCACTGATCAATCTCCTAGCAAGGAAAGAAACCTTTCACAATTTCCCACTAGACCACGGGGCCAGTGAGTGGTCAATAATTAGTGGTCCTCTCTGTACTTCACTGGTCCAAAATAACATTCGTAGATTTACTTAACTATCAATACAAACTTCACTGGACACCAGGACCACTGCAAACTTATTATCTAGTGGTCCTGATGAATTTTAATAGCCAGGGACCACAGGGCCAGCGTAAATTTCCCACACTGTCCCAACAACAAATGGCCTAAGTTCGTTAATGAGTTTGAAATAAGGAATAAAGTATCAACTCAAAGTCTTTTTGAAACTGCTGCACATGTATACTGGCGAAAAAAGAATAACAAAACACTTCCATACAGTTTATGTTAGGAGAATACGTAACTGCTTAGCAACATCTGAGGGTCATTAATGCCCATCCCCAACCCAATCGAACACTCTGTTCATTAGCAGGAAAAAGTACGACAGTTGCTATAAGTGCTCCAAGAATCATTATACTTCTGATGAACGATGGTAATGCTGAGGGTTCTAAACAAGCTGGTACGTGTACGTATCGAACCCTTGACATCTAAGTGAGCTTGGTGTAATGTAATCATGCACAAAAACGCACGCCAGACTTCCTCAGACCTTTGGTCTTCACACCAAAATTAGATATCACAGAAACTGGGTACATTCAGATTTCACTACGCAAGCGTAACTCTTACAATACGCGTATTTGTGTTTGAGCTGGTTATCCTGTAACCACGTATCATAGGAACACAACAGCAGTTACCACTTGTAAGAACAAAAGGACATGGTATTTAATGTTGCATGGGTCTGAAGAGCTCTTAAGATCTCATATGTGAGTGTGGTTTCACGCTGCTTTTGTCAATATGTCCGCAATATCATGGCGAGGGACAAAAGAAATGGGCTTAACACATTGTACGAATGTCAGGATTCGAACCCGAGTTTTCGGCGTGACGAGCGAACGCTTTAACCACTAGGCTACCCTCCCGTTCCTTAGGTCTAACGAAATGCAATGGGGATGAAATCTCAATAATAGCCCCAACACTATTTTTTATTTACCCGTGAAGGTCCGGGTTAAAATATTGATCTTCAGCAACCCATGCTTGTCGTAAGAAGCGACTAACGGGATCGGATGGTCAGGCTCGTTGACTTGTTTGACACATGTCGTCGGTTTCCAGTTGCGTAGATCGATGCTCATGCTCATGACGACGTTTGGATATATATGGAATTTCTTTTCAAAATGTCCATCTTCCACAACAAAGATATTTCAACACCCATAGCAAACCTTTAATCCCGACTGTCATCTGGCAATTTGATGAAACCAAGTTATTACTGTTCTACAACATGGGCTGGAATAGTTGCTTCCAAAACCGAAGTGTGCAGATCGATGTTCATGCTGTTGATCACTGGATTGTCTGATCTAGACACGATTATTTACAGACTGTCGCCATATAGCTGGAATAGTGCTGAGTGTGGCGTAAAACTAAACTCACTCACTCACTCATTTTTTTATTTGGGTAAAATATATTACATATATACATATATAGTTACATCGGTTTGGTATTACTTAGTCTTTAGTCGTTAATCCATTGTCTAGACTGTTGCAGGAATACATAAAACGCCAGCATCAGAGAATAACCTCTCTCAATTATCTAGCGAAACAGATTCATTCCATCGGGCGTAAAGGTCAAAATAGCTGTGAAACCTCATAATGTGCAATACGTGACCCTCCAATCAAGAAAGTTCTATTTGTGCTCAACATTAACATATAACTCCGTTCAATGCGTCACGTTTTTCCATATTCACTAAATTTAAAACCAAGCTGATCTGTCATAAAAGAAATTTAAAAGAGACAAGCTAAATTAATTTTGAACACGGTGCCAAATTGTGCAAAAAAATAAACATGTGATTAATATATCAAAGAAGGTATCTCTCTGTGCCTTACGCTGAAATAATGAACATTGTACTTGATTGAGAATTTTGAATTGTCTTTTGAAAGGTTAGACATGGTTGGGAGTGCGTTGGGTCGGTCTCTGTGTTATAGAGTGTACATAAACAAGAGCGTGTGCCTGGTCCTGCATCTCGTTTGCTGTTTCAGCATTTGGTAAAATTTACGTTTTGGACAATCAGCAATCAGCAACACACAATGTAGGCACGAGACTGGGTAAACGGCCGCGGGAGAGTATTGTCCTGACAAATGTTCGTTCATACTGAAACACTTGTACACAAACCCTATTTCTACAGCTAGTTTTTAAGTTTTAACGAGGGGCTGATTTATGAAAGGCAAATAATGATTTCATGAAAAAAGTTTTAAAGTTTTTCGTATACAAGAGTTGTCCACATCTATGTGTAAAATTCCTTGTTTCTAGTAAATTACTAACTAGTGGTAAATAAATCTGATTTCTTTTTTGTTTGTTTCCAAGCTATGTGATGGTGGTATGTAAATAATCGAGTCTGGAGAACCAATCCAGTGACTGACACCATGAGCATCGATCTGCGCAGTTGGGATACGATGATATACATCAACCAAGTCAGCGAGCCTGATCCCGTTAGTCGCCTCTTACGATAAACATGAGTTGCTGAAGACCAATTCTAACCCGGATCTTCACGGGTTGGTAAATAGCATTGGTAAGGTGTATGAACATGAATCATAATGCATGGGCTAATGGTATTGAGTCATGTCAGTGACTTTTCAGCTGTTAACACCACTACCCTACGGGAACTAGGGCATTTGTCACTAGACCAAGTGATATAATTACGTTACATTCCATCTTTAAATGCTCAGGACAATTTGTCAACTTGCTTTCCTCTCTGATCTGATTAACTGTCCAAATGAACCGGATATTATGCTCGGACTGGCAAAATGTACATACCCATGAATACTACGTGAATGTGACCTGTCATCGCTCAGTAGCGGTAAACGAGCAATTCCCTTCATGCCACTAAACTCAATGAACCGGTTGTTCGGTTATTTGTTCAGGTGAACATCTGTTCATTGCATGTGTTCACCACCAGTTGGGCAACTAAACAGAATACGGCCTTGCGACAAACATCTCCAACTCAATAACAAAACAATTCGTCCGGTGATTGTTACCCTTGTGATCGGATGGGAAGATGTCTCCTTCGCTTCCATTTGATGTTCAACCCACTGACCAAGTCTTACATCCTTATTAATCGAAACCTGTGTGGGGCGATGGGTAGCCTTGTAGTTAAAGCGTTCGCTCGTCACGCCGAAGACCCGGGTTCAATTACCCACATTGATACAATGTGTGAAGCCTATTTCTGGTGTCCCCACATCGCTAAAAGCCGAGTAAAACCAAACTCACTTACTCGTAACCTTTGTAGATATGACGACATGCAAAATATTGCTATAAAAAGAATCAGATTCGCTAGCACACACACACTATTATGACACATCCGTTCCTGCTCTTTGTGTCAGAAGTAAATGCTAACCTTTATATGTGGCAAAGAAGATGAGCCATTAGAATTTTAAAACCAACAATTTAACTTACCACGCCACTGCATGTGGAGACAGCCGTGTAGGATGACCTTTGACCTTTGACATAACCGTGATAGAAACACTTGTCATCAATGTCTTCAGCCAAAGTCTGGTTACCTTCGTCCCATTCAGCGACGGCCCTCGGTGTGGAGATCTGCGACTGATAGAGAGCCAACTGAATCTTTTGTTTTCGCCATGACACCTCCAAGAAAAAGCCCCCGGGTAGATCTGTTGTACCAGGGATTTCTGATTTAACGTGTTTGCCATGATTGTCTATGACGTGAGGGAACGTAATCTCCGTTCTCTGGACGGAGCACGGGGGCTTGAAGGGCAGACCTGAAATCAGAACGATATTTAGACGTGTATACATGGCGAGTGTGGTGGGAGGGGGAGAGGGTGGGGCAAATCTGATGTGCTTGCCCCCTCCACCTCCATAGAAAGTTTACCAACCCCTATCCCTGCATCCCTGAGTGTGTTTCTGTCTTGGTCTGGACAATACGGAACAATGCAATGGGGGTTATTAGGATAGGTAAAATAATGAAACCACTCAGTATAATTATCATGGACCAGGAAAACTACTTATAGTTTGCTTAAGCAGCAAAGTATTCTCTGATTGAAGACATAGATTCAGCCAGACCACTCACAATTGCTTGCGATATTTTGTTTGATTCAATATCCCTACGTCCTGAACGTGCGTACGACCCCCATAATCTGAACGATAAAATTGAAACCGGCTCGATAAATAACTTTTAATCTGAACGAGTTGGCGTCCTGTGCCATGTTCTAGTTCATGTGTACAAATAGATGCGCTCCCAGTAGAGATCATCCTGACGGGTATTTCCATACAAACAAGGTTTCACTGTATACAAAAGTCACTCTACTATCTTTTACAGACACGTTAGATCGTTCAGTATGACCGAGCCTAAACCTATTCCTGAGTCTAAGGTATGTATGTAACGTATGTATTCTATGAAGAAAAAGACTAAATTGCCCCAGGTGTAGAATGAGTGAATTAGTGAAGTTCTACGCCGTTGTTAGCAATATTCCAGCAATGTAAGCGTAAAGAATACATGAAACTGAGCTCACACATTGCACCTATGTTGTGAATCAAACCCGGGCCTTAGGGCTGGACGACGTTTTACGAATAACCCAATGCACTCTTCCAGTGAGTGAGTGAGTTTAGTTTTACGCCGCACTCAGCAATATTCCAGCTATACGGCGGTGGTCTGTAAATATGAGCGTCGATCTACGCAACTGGGATGTGTCATGTGTCAACCAAGTCAACCACCCGATCCCGTTAGTCGCCTCTTACGACAAACTTGGGTTACTGAAGATCAGTTCTAACCCGGATCTTCACGGGTCGCTCTCTTCCAGATTATATCGTATGACTATAGTAAATCTGTCTTGTCAAGTACGATCATTTCATGACTATAGTTAATCTCTACTGACATGACAGATTCACTATGGTCATATGAAACCATCGTTCAACCAGCACATGCATATTATAGTTAGTGTCCCAAGTCTATCAGGAGGGAGGAATCCTGTTACCAAAAGCAATATTTCAAGATTCAAGCGTCGGCGACAGTCTGTTAATTTAGAGGAAACAGCCTGTCATACAAAAAAGGACGGTGATATTAGTTTGCCTGTTTTGCCTAAATGTAAATAAAAAATGTCATGTCCGACTTGAAACATTAATCATACTCTGATTAAACCAGCATGTATCTATCTCGCCAATATCGTTACATAGGCTTCTCATATTGATATGTCACGATGCTCCGATAACCTTCGTGAAATTAGGTTTCACAAAACTCTCAGCAGTTGATCAGGCCCATAAAAACCATACGGTTCGTTTTGCTGTCTAAGCGAGTAGAAAACCTTCCCCATACAAACATCATCTTCCACGTCTGAGTGTCTATACACCTCGGTGTGTGGATAATGTTATAAGCAGCCAGGATTCAGAAGGAATCTATACATTACAAACGATGTAAATGTTATGCCCCGTTTGGGCGCCCTCCTTGTCACTCCGACCAGACAAACCCCTGCTGTTCGGGTCCATCCAAGCGGACAAATTCTTCTGAATAACTCTTTCAGGGTGGTCATTCACTACACTGTGGAAGGTTTCTATACAATTTACATCATGAAAGTGCGGGTATTCTCAGACGGAGACTTTCATTAGGTTATCATAACATTTGCATTCAGACGATGACCTAAAGACGAAAGCGTGAGACCGGCGGTTACCTCGCAAAAATCAAAAACTCTGTCAAAGTTTGTTTGTACTGAGCTTAACTTAAGGAGCTATCAATTTGGCGATGAATTGTTTCCATGGCATTCCAGTTAGAATGTAAATCGCATTTAAATACATATGCGAGGTGAATATACAAATAGGCATTTCATGATTCGTTGGGCGAAGTCCCTTCGATGATTCTAGAAAGAAAGAGGTCGGGACGTTGATTTTCACTATGGAGTGATATTATGTTACTGAGTTTCAAGGCTTAACACAAAGGCTGTTTGTTTGTTTGTTTTGACTGTGTCAGGTCCCGAAGCGTGGGGTTAAGAGGGTTACATGAATAACGCCGTGGTAGGCATAAACTGATGGAGATGATAAGGCGTTAAGAACTTGGGCAACACTGAAATACTCATAAGCTATAACCATTAAACAATTGTATAACGGGCAGGCAGTTATTTTATCTTTGATAGAAAACGCTAAGGTCAACCAGGAATTGCAGAGTTAGGGTCACGATATCGTAAATGCATTTGCTGTATCTAGAACACAAAAACCCACTAACCGGAAAGAATAAAATTCACAAAGTTTGGGTTCACGTTCTCTCTCAATGGCTGTAAAACCAAGTCCCTCAAACATGTAAGGTTAATATTAAATAACCATCATGACGACGTTTGGATATATATGGAATTTCTTTTCAAAATGTCCATCTTCCACAACAAAGATATTTCAACACCCATAGCAAACCTATAATCCCGACTGTCATCTGGCAATTGATGAAACCAAGTTATTACTGTTCTACAACATGGGCTGGAATAGTTGCTTCCAAAACCGAAGTGTGCAGATCGATGTTCATGCTGTTGATCACTAGATTGTCTGGTCCAGACTCGATTATTTACAGACCGCCGCCATATAGCTGGAATATTGTCGAGTGTGGCGTAAAACTAAACTCACTCACCCACCCACTCCAAAACCGAACGTAGTTCAATCAGAATGCGTTTGCTGGATTATCTTTTAGGATAGGGAATAAATTCAAAAGCAAACCCTCTACATAAGCGCCAGATAATCGTATGAAATACCTCATCGTCGAATAAGTGTCTTACTGTATCCACCATCAAACAAACATGGGTGTATACGTTTCAGTTTATGATGCATATGTAACGAACACACTGCTGTGATCAGCAACACATACACACATCCACACACGTAGGGCGCCAGACTAGCGGCATCATCTGGATAGCCTCATCACCATGTAACATAGGTCAGAGATCCGTCCTTAAGCTCTCTATTGTCATACTGAATATTATCGCTGTATAATGACAGTTACATTTGAATCTAATGTTGGTGATTACCTGTGAATGCTACCATTTCCCACCACCATGAACATTATAAACAGCAAATGGTGTAACCCATAACGATCTTCACTTGTCAAGAATGCAAAATAATTGTTTTACGTTATCGCCTTTACGCCCTAAGAGTGTTTTGTTTTACACCACGGAGAACGTTATTCGAAAGGGTGTTTTTTAAAAAGGTAGCCCGTCAATCTGTACACTGATCCAAACTGTTACATTTCCTTATGTAATTGTCTGTGTTCGATCTATTCGGGCGTTACTCTTAGTGGTGCTTTTTTAAAACAATGAATAGTCTTAGAGAAACGGGGCGGTGGAGTGGTTAAAGTTTTCGCTCGTCACGATGGGGTTCTATTCCCAACATGGTTACACTGTGTGAAGCCCATTTCTGGTGTCCCCCGCCGTGATATTGCTGGAATATTGCTAAAAGCGGCCTAAAACTAAACTCACTCACTCACTCTTAGCCATACTGGGACATGGACTTCAAACTGTTAATTCCTTACGTAGTTGTAAGTTTTAGATTTATCCTGGTCCCCCGACTTTCTGTCAGGCGTGTCATACATGTACTGTGCCGGTTTCCCGAGGCAGGACAGAACCAGTGTCAGAATTCCTCCCTTCCTAACCTGCTCCCTCCATCTCTCCAGCTGTTGGACTATCGGTTGCTAATGTGGAGAACGTTACCCAAGCTCAGCTAGTCTACTGTGTGCATACAGCGACATGCAGGCTTGACACAGAAACATGGCTTCCTCGTAAATAATTGTTATTTTTCTTTTTTGCAGTACATGTGACAGAAGACGTATTTAGTCTCAAGAAAAACACAGTCCAGCTTTGATTACAGGAAGTGTGCAAGACATTCGCTTAGAGTTTATGCAAGGCTGCATTGTCAACCACACAGACACGCACATGTACTCTCACACGCACTTACGCACACACGGGGAGAACGAATAGGGTTTCATTGGGATATTGACAGGCACATTGTAAACAGATTCATCAGAGGGTAGCATGACACACGCATATGTCCAGCACTGTATCTATAAGGAAACAACTGCGTGGATCTGTACATAGTTTTCATAACCTCGTCTCAAGCAGCCATACAATCGTTTTTGTTCAGTATTTTTTATACATTGCAGAATCAAGATATGATTTAGGAAATCAAATACCAAAGTATAACTCTTATTGTCAGGCCCTGGGCGAGGTTTTCGGCCGTAATTAGTAAATCGTTAGCAAGACATTAGCTAATATGATATTCAATTAGATAATTAATATAGAAAAAAAAATATTTATGGAATGGACAAAAATATATCACTACACCCATATACCTCGTTAAAACGTCCCAGAGTTTAACCGCACGGCAACGCGTGACACTTTCGTTATAAAGAATGCACTGAAGGCACGAAATGGGAATAATATTTTATCGTCGAAACAAATTCAATAAAATTCCGATGTAAAACATGTGGTTTAAGAAGCATTTCCATCACAGAACAGAAAGAGAAAATTCAGCTATCTGCGTGTGTATGTTCCAATTACACAGTGTGAAGATAACGTTTTTCTATTACCTGATATTGAACGAGAACTTCAAACATATCAGTACTCTTGTGATACATGTAGGGGAAAAATACGGTCATTTTTCCTTTCCTCACTTCTAAAAAGGAGAACGGCAGTGGGATAGCCTAGTGGTTAAAGCGTACGCTCGTCATGCCGAATACCCTGGTTCGATTTCTGGTGTCCCCTCCGTAATATTGCTGGAATATTGTTAAAAGCGGCGT